GAGATGCTGAGACGACGCGCGTACCTGAACGCGACCCACAGCTGCATCGCAGGTACCAAAACCGCCCCAAAACACCCAAAATCACCCCAAAACACCCGAAATCAACCCAAAATCAGCCCAAAACACCCAAAATCACCCCAAAACACCCTGAAATCACCCCAAAACCGCCCCAAAACACCCCGAAATCACCCTAAAACACCCAAAATCACCCCCAAGTCACAAAAAATCACCTCAAAATCACCCGAACCCCCCCCAAATCTCCCGAAATTCACCCCAAATCACCCCCAAGTCTCCTCAAAATCCCCCCAAATCTCCCCAGATTCACCCCAAAGCACACCAGGGACCCCCAAACCTCTTTATTCACCCCAACCCCCCACTTCAGATGAGCTCTTGGCCCAGTTGCCCCCCTCGAAGCCCCCCGAGGAGCTGAAGGCCCCATTGGACGCCGGTGAGGATGGAGCAGCCCCGGCTGGGTGAGCAGGACCCCAAACCCGGGGCTTTTCACCCCAAAATTGGGTATTTTTGACCCCAAAATGGGGGGGGTTGACCCAAAAATGGGTCTTTTCACCCCAAAAAGGGGGGGGTAACTCCAAAATGGGGATTTTTGACCCCAAAATGGGGTGTTTCATTACAGAACTTGCGCTATTCACCTAAACAGGGGTCTTTTCACCCCCAAATATGAGCCGTTTGACCCAAAAAAGGGGCATTTTGGCCCCAAAGCAGGGTTTTTTTGACAAAAAAAAAAGGTTTTTTGAACAAAAGAATGGGTTTTGACCCCAAAAGGGGTTGTTTCGTTGCAAAACTTCGCTTTACATCTAAAAATGGGTCTTTTCACCCCAAATATGACGGCTTCAGCCCAAAAAAGGGCTTTTTTGACCAAAAAAGGGGCATTTTGACCCCAAACTGGAGTTTTTTGACCCCAAAATCGGGTTTTTTGACCCCAAACCGGGTGTCCCCCCCCGTCAGGCCCGCGGCCCCCCCGGGCACCCCCTCTGCAGCCACGCAGGAGCTGGACGCGCTCATGGCCTCCCTGTCCCTCTTCCACCTCCAGCACCAGGTGAGGCCGGGGGGGGCCCCACTGAGCCCCACGGGGCCCTTTCGGCCCCACAAGTGCCTGAACCCCCCCACCCCTTTCCAGCGCCCCCCAAGTGTGGGGCAGGACCTGGACTCGCTGCTGCGGCTGCTGCAGAAGGACCTGGACAGGCAGGGGGTGCCCGTGGGGGGCAGGGGCCCCTGCGGGGGGTGCCTGAAGCCCATTGCTGGGAAGGTGAGGGGGGAATGGGGGTCAGGGGTGTTAATGGGGTCAGTGGGTGCCAATGGGGGGTCAATGGGTGTCAAAGGGGTCAGTGGGGTCAATGGGGGTCAGTGGCGATCAATGGGGGTCAGTGGGGTCAACGGGTGTCAGTGGGGTCAATGGGGGTCAGTGGGGTCAACGGGTGTCAGTGGGGTCAATGGGGGTCAGTGGGGTCAATGGGGATCAGTGGGGTCAATGGGGGTCAATGGGGATCAGTGGGGTCATTGGGTGTCAGTGGGGTCAATGGGGATCAGTGGGGTCAATGGGGGTCAATGGGGATCAGTGGGGTCAATGGGGGTCAGTGGGGTCAATGGGGATCAGTGGGGTCAAAATGGGGGTCAGTGGGGTCAATGGGGTCAATGGGGATCAGTGGGGTCAATGGGGGTCAGTGGGGTCAACGGGTGTCAGTGGGGTCAATGGGGGTCAGTGGGGTCAACGGGTGTCAGTGGGGTCAATGGGGGTCAGTGGGGTCATTGGGTGTCAGTGGGGTCAATGGGGATCAGTGGGGTCAATGGGGGTCAGTGGGGTCAATGGGGGTCAGTGGGGTCAATGGGGATCAGTGGGGTCAATGGGGGTCAAAGGGGGTCAGTGGGGTCAATGGGGATCAGTGGCGTCAATGGGGTCAATGGGGGTCAATGGGAGCCAAAGGAGGACCCCATTGGCTCCTCCCGCCCCCCCGTGACGCGTCACCCATTGGCCCCGCCCACCCAACAGGCGCTGCTGGCGCTGGGTCGCTGGTGGCACCCGCGTCACTTCCGCTGCGCCGCCTGCGGGCAGGCTCTGGGCGGGAGCGCCTTCTTCGAGCGCGAGGGCGCCCCCTACTGCCCGGAGGACTACGGGCGCCTCTTCGCGCCCACGTGCGCCGCCTGCCAGCGCCCCATCCTGCACGTGAGCGGCGGGGTCACGTGGGGGGGCAATAATGGGGGGCAACGGGAGCAATAGGGGGCAGTTGGGGGTCTATGCGGGGCAATGGGGAGCAATGGGAGTAATGGGGGTAATGGGGCACAATGGGTAATGGTGGCAATGGGGAGCAATGGGAGTAATGGGGGCAATGGGGGTAATGGGGCACAATGGGTAATGGTGGCAATGGGGAGCAATGGGAGTAATGGGGGCAATGGGGGTAACGGGGCACAATGGGTAATGGTGGCAATGGGGGGCAATGGGAGTAATGGGGGCAATGGGGGTAACGGGGCACAATGGGTAATGGTGGCAATGGGGGGCAATGGGGTTCAATGGGGGCAATGGGGGGTAATGGGGGGCAGTTGGGGGGCTATGAGGGGCAATGGGAGTAATGGGGGCAATGGGGGGTAATGGGGGTGATGGGGGCAATGGGGGGCAATAGGGGTAATGGGGGGCAGTTGGGGGTCTATGAGGGGCAATGGGAGTAATGGGGGCAATGGGGAGCAATGAGGCTCAATGGGGGTGATGGGGGGGGTCCTTTCTGTGCTATTATGGGATGGAGCCCCCCCTCCCCTGCAGCAAATGGTGACGGCGCTGGACAAGACCTGGCACCCGGAGCACTTCTGCTGCACCCACTGTGGGGCGGTGCTGGGGGAGCAGGGTCAGAGCCCCCATGCACCCCATAGACCCCATATCCCATACCCCATAGACCCCATACATCCCATATACCCCATACATCCCGTATAGCCCATACATGCCCTATACCCCACATAAGCCATGTACCCCACACATCCTCTATACTCCCTACCACCATCCCCTCTATACACCACATACCCCATATACCTCATATACCCCATACACCCCACATACCCCCCATATCCCCCACACGCCCCACACCCCACATACCCCCATACCCCCACAACCCCCATAACTCCATACCCCCCACACCCCCATACCCCCCATTACCCCCCACACCCCCCATACCCCCACATCCCCCACACTCCCCACATCCCTCACACCCCCATATCCCCCACACCCCCAATAACCCCCATAACCCCACAACCCCCATACCCCCCATTACCCCCCACACCCCCCATACCCCCACATCCCCCACACTCCCCACATCCCTCACACCCCCATATCCCCCACACCCCCAATAACCCCCATAACCCCACAACCCCCATACCCCCCATTACCCCCCATACCCCCCCACACCCCCCACACTCCCCACATCCCTCACACCCCCATACCCCCACAACCCCCATAACTCCATACCCCCCATACCCCCCATTACCCCCCACACCCCCCATACCCCCACATCCCCCACACTCCCCACATCCCTCACACCCCCATATCCCCCACACCCCCCACCCCCCCAATAACCCCCATAACCCCACAACCCCCATATCCCCCACACCCCCCACCCCCCCAATAACCCCCATAACCCCACAACCCCCATACCCCCCATTACCCCACACACACCCCCCACACCCCCCACACTCCCCACATCCCCCACACCCCCAATAACCCCCCCCACCCCCGTTCCCATTGCAGGGTTCCTGGCCCGGGACCTCCTCCCCTACTGCCCCCAGGACTTTGGGCTCCTCTTTGGGAGCCGCTGCCGGGGCTGCGCCCGCCCCATCCTGGCCGGGTTCATCGCGGCCCTGCAGGGGCTCTGGCACCCCCAGTGCTTCGTGTGCGCGGTGAGGACCCAGGGAGCCCCAGAGAGCCCAGAGAGCCCATAGAGCTCCATAGAAACCCCATAGAGCTCCATAGAGCTCCATAGAGACCCATAGAGCCCCATAGAGCTCCATAGAGACCCATAGAGCCCCATAGAGCTCCATAGAAACCCCATAGAGCTCCATAGAGCTCCATAGAGACCCATAGAGCCCCATAGAGCTCCATAGAGACCCATAGAGCCCCATAGAGCTCCATAGAGACCCATAGAGCTCCATAGAGCTCCATAGAGCCCCATAGAGACCCATAGAGCTCCATAGAGCCCATAGAGACCCATAGAGACCCATAGAGCTCCATAGAGCCCATAGAGACCCATAGAGACCCATAGAGCTCCATAGAGCCCATAGAGCCCCATAGAGACCCATAGAGCCCCATAGAGACCCATAGAGCTCCACAGAGCCCCATAGAGCCCATAGAGCCCATAGAGCCCCATAGAGCTCCATAGAGCCCATAGAACCCCATAGAGCTCCATAGAGCTCCATAGAGACCCATAGAGCTCCATAGAGCCCATAGAGCCCCATAGAGCTCCATAGAGACCCATAGAGCCCATATATCTCATATATCCCATATCCCATTTATCCCATGTATCCCATATACCCCATAGCCCATATCCCACATCCATATAACCCATATCCTATATCCCATACCCCATATATCCCATATCCCATACCCCCTATATCCTATACCCCATATACCCCATATCCCCTATATCCTATACCCCATATATCCCATATCTCATACCCCATATATCCCATACCCCCTATATCCTATACCCCATATACCCCATACCCCCTATATCCTATACCCCCTATATCCCATACCCCATGTACCCCATACCCCGTATACCCCATATCCATACCCTTAATCCCGTTATCCCACCCTCAGGAATGCTCCTCTCCCATCACCGGAGGCACCTTCTTCGAGGCCAACGGGCACCCCGTGTGCCAGCGCCATTCCCAGCCCCATTCCCAGCCCCATTCCCAGCCGAGCTGCTCCTTCTGCCTCCAGCCCCTGGATGGGGCCGCCCCACAGCAGCGCGACGGGAAGCTCTACTGCCCGCTCTGCGCCCAGCACCTGCTCCAGTGAGGGGCCCCATGGCCTGCCCTGCCCCATAGGTGCCCAATGGCCTGCCCCATACATGGCCAATGGACCCATAGATGGCCAACGGACCCATAGATGGTCAATGGACCCATAGATGGCCAACGGACCCATAGATGGCCAACGGACCCATAGATGGTCAATGGACCCATAGATGGCCAACGGACCCATAGATGGTCAATGGACCCATAGATGGCCAATGGACCCATAGATGGTCAATGGACCCATAGATGGTCAATGGACCCATAGATGCCCAATGGACCCATAGATGGTCAATGGACCCATAGATGCCAATGGACCCATAGATGGCCAATGGACCCATAGATGGTCAATGGACCCATAGATGCCAATGGACCCATAGATGGCCAATGGACCCATAGATGGTCAATGGACCCATAGATGGCCAGTGGACCCATAGATGGCCAACGGACCCATAGATGGCCAATGAACCCATTACAACCACCATAAGGTCCCGTTTTGGGTCCAATTCTCCCCATTTTGGGTCAAGTCCTCCTATTTTGGGTCAAATTTTCCCCATTTTGGGTCTAAATCTATTCATTTTGGGTCATTTCCCCCCATTTTGGGTCTAAATCTATTCATTTTGGGTCATTTCCCCCCATTTTGGGTCTAAATCTATTCATTTTGGGTCATTTCCCCCCATTTTGGGTCTAAATCTATTCATTTTGGGTCATTTCCCCCCATTTTGGGTCTAAATCTATTCATTTTGGGTCATTTCCCCCCATTTTGGGTCTAAATCTATTCATTTTGGGTCATTTCCCCCCATTTTGGGTCTAAATCTATTCATTTTGGGTCATTTCCCCCCATTTTGGGCCATTTCCTCCCCATCCCTTGATGCCCCCCCCCCATCTCCCCCTTTCATCAATGGGGGGGACCCCAAGAGTCCAAAAGGGTCAATTTATTCCCATCAACCTTGGGGGGCTCCAATGGAACAAAGGGGGGGCCCATAGAACCCAATGGGGGGCCTTTGGGTTTGAAGGGATCCCCTCCTTCCTCCCGGGCTTGGTATGTTCCAATGAGGGAGGGTGGGAGGTCCCATTGAGCCAATGGGGAGCGTGGGAGCGTCCAATGAGCCAATGGGGGTCGTGGGAGCGTCCAATGAGCCAATGGGGCGGTGATGGGATGTTCCATTGAATCCAATGGGGTTTAATGGGAGGTTCCATTGCAGGCAATGGGGTTTAATGGGATGTTCCATTGAATCCAATGGAGTTTAATGGGACGTTCCATTGAATCCAATGGAGTTTAATGGGATGTTCCATTGAAGGCAATGGGGTTTAATGGGATGATCCATTGAATCCAATGGAGTTTAATGGGATGTTCCATTGCAGGCAGTGGGGTTTAATGGGATGTTCCATTGCAGGCAATGGGGTTTAATGGGATGTTCCATTGAAGGCAATGGGGTTTAATGGGATGTTCCATTGAATCCAATGGGGTTTAATGGGATGTTCCATTGAATCCAATGGAGTTTAATGGGATGTTCCATTGCAGGCAGTGGGGTTTAATGGGATGTTCCATTGCAGGCAATGGGGTTTAATGGGATGTTCCATTGCAGGCAATGGGGTTTAAGGGGAGGTTCCGTTGAATCCAATGGGGTTTAATGGGAGGTTCCATTGAAGGCAATGGGGTTTAATGGGAGGTTCCATTGCAGGCAATGGGGTTTATTGGGGGGTTCCATTGCAGGCAATGGGGGGTCCCGGTGCGTGCCCCCCTCACTCGCCCTCCTTGTCCTCCCCATGGGTGATGATGTAGCAGATGTTCTTGTAGTCCACGTTGCCGGCCACGTCGGGGGGGAAGGCGGCCCACATGTTCCTGATCTGAGCCCCATAGGCCATTAGAGACACCCCATAGGGGCCCCTATAGGCCGTTATAGACCCCCCCCCCATAGGCCATTATAGACCCTCCTATAGAATCCCCTGTACGCCTCCCATACACCATAAGAGACCCCCCATAGACCCCCTATAGACCATTACAGACCCCCGCATAGACCCCCCCATAGAGCATTATAGACCCCCTATAGACAGTTACAGACCCCCCTATAGACCTCCTATAGACCATTATAGACCACCCCCATAGACCCCCCCCATAGACCCCCCTATAAAGCATTATAGACCCCCCCATAGACCCCCTTATAGACCATTATAGACCCCCTATAGGGGCCCCTACAGACCATTATAGACCACGCCCATAGACCCCCCCATAGACCATTATAAATGCCCCATAGACCCCCCTATAAAGCATTATAGACCCCCCCATAGACCCCCTTGTAGACCATTATAGACCCCCTATAGGGGCCCCTACAGACCATTATAGACCCCCCATAGACCCCCCCATATGGGCCTCACCTCCTCGGGGGTGAACCGGTCACACTGGGTGGTCAGGAGCTCCTCCAGGCTGGGGGGGGGCAAAGGGGTGGGGCTTAGAGATGGCCACGCCCCCTGAACCCCCATATCCCATAATACCCCATATACCCTATATACCCCATATCCCACACCCCATATACCCCATATCCCATACCCCATAAACCCCATATACCCCATATCCCATACCCCATATACCCCATATCCCATACCCCATATACCCCATATACCCCATATCCCCCATATCCCACGCCCCATATACCCCATACCCCATATATCCTATACCCCATACCCCATATCCCACACCCCATATACCCCATATACCCCATATCCCATACCCCATATACCCCATATCCCACACCCCATATCCCATACCCCATATACCCCATATCCCATACCCCATAAACCCCATATACCCCATATCCCATACCCCATATACCCCATATCCCATACCCCATATACCCCATATACCCCATATCCCACGCCCCATATACCCCATACCCCATATATCCTATACCCCATACCCCATATCCCACACCCCATATACCCCATATACCCCATATCCCATACCCCATATACCCCATATCCCACACCCCATATCCCATACCCCATATACCCCATATCCCATACCCCATAAACCCCATATCCCACACCCCATATACCCCATATCCCATACCCCATATACCCCATATCCCACACCCCATACACCCCACACCCCACATCCCCCCCATATCTCACAAGCTCTTCTTGATGGTTCCCTTCCCATCGGGATCCAGCACCTTGAACGCCCCCATGATGACGTCCTCAGGGTCCGCACCTGATTGGACGGTGCCAGTGGGTCAGTGGGTCCCCATGGGTCCCTATGGTCGCTATGGGTCTCTATGGTTCCCTATGGGTCTCTATGGGTCCCTGTGGTGTCTATGGGTCGCTATGGGGCTCACCCTTGAGCTTCTCCCCGAACATGGTCAGGAACACGGTGAAGTTGATGGGGCCCGAAGCCTCCTTGATCATCGCGTCCAGCTCCTCGTTCTTCACGTTCATACGGCCTGGAGGGGCGGGGCCTCAGCAGGACACGCCCCTCTGCCCCATAGACCACGCCCCCAGCCCCATAGACCACATCCCTGCCCCATAGACCACATCCCCTGCCCCATAGACCACGTCCCCTGCCCCATAGACCATGTCCCCTGCCCCATAGACCACGTCCCCTGCCCCACAGACCACCCCCTTCCCTATACCCACCATTCAGATGAAGCCACACCCCCTTGCCACAAGCCCCGCCCATCTCCAAGCCCCTCCCCTTTCCCATAGGCATCCATTGAAGCCTCTCCCCTTCCCATTAAGCCCCTCCCCTTCCCCATTGCAGTCCAGTCTCTAAGCCCCTCCCCTTCCCCATTGCAGCCCCTTCCCTTCAAGCCCCTCCCCTTTCTTTAGGCCCCGCCCCCTATAGCCCCGCCCCTACCCATGGCGGCAAAGGTCTCCCTCAGGTCGTCCTTGTCAATGATCCCATCCCTGTTCTGGTCAATGACCGTGAAGGCCTGGGAAAGGGGGCGGAGCCAAAGGGAGCGCGGGGATCAATCAGACCGCGGGGGGGCGTGGCCACAAGGGGGCCCCATCGAGGTGAATGGGAAGGGGAAGGAGAGGGCGGGGGTGAATGAGGGGCAGGGTTATCCATAGGGATGAATGGGGAGGGGGGCGGAGCTTAAGGGGAAGGGGGCGGGGCCAATGGGGGTCCCCACCTCCTTGAACTCCTGGATCTGGGTCTGGTCGAACATGGAGAAGACGTTGGAGCTGCCCTCGGCCGCGCGGCGCTTCGCCTTCTTGGGGGCCTGTGGGGAGCTGTGGGTCCTTATGGGGCTCTGTGGGGGGTCTATGGGGTGTCCATGGGGCTCTATGGGGGTCTGTGGGGTGTCTATGGGGCTCTGTGGGGTGTCCATGGGGCTCTATGGGGGTCTAGGGGGTGTCTATAGGGGTCTATGGGGTGTCCATGAGGCTCTATGGGGGTCTAGGGGGTGTCTATGGGGGTCTAGGGGGTGTCCATGAGGCTCTATGGGGCTCTGTGGGGGTCTATGGGGTGTCCATGGGGGTCTATGGGGTGTGCATGGGGGTCTATGTGGGTCTGTGGGGTGTCTACGGGGTGTCCATGGGGGTCTATGGGTCTTAATAGGGGGGCTTTATAGGGGGTCTATGGGGCTTTGTGGGGGTCTATGGGGGGTCCATGGGGCTCTGTGGCATGTTTATGGGGCTCTATGGTGTGTCCATGGGGGTCTATGGTGGGGCTATGGGGGGTCTATGGGGTAATAAAGGGGAGCTATGGGTGTCTATGGGGGCTCTGTGAGTGTCTATTGGGGGGTTGGGAGGGTCCAAGGGGTCCCCATGGGGCTCCATAGGGCCCCTATGGGGCTCTGCTTGGCGCTATGGGTCTCTATTGGGTATCTATAGGGGTCTGTGGGGTATCTATAGGCTCTATAGGGGAACTGTAGGGTATCTATAGGGGTTTATGGGGTATCTATAGCGGTCTATAGTGGGTCTATGGGGTTCTATAGGGGGTCTATAGGGGTCTATGGGGTATCTATAGGGGTCTATGGGGGTTCTATAGGGGTCTATGGGGTATCTATAGGGCTCTATGGGGTGTCTATGGGGTTTCTATAGGGCTCTATGGGGGTCAGGCTCTCACCATTGTCTCCTCGCAGACGGGGGGGGGTCGCTGTGGGCTCCGTCCAATCGCGGGGGGTTTTATTGCCCCCCTTGGGGGGGAGGGGTCCGGCCCCGCCCCTTTCCTCGCCCCTCCCCCCGCCTTGAGGCTCCTCGTGCCCTTTCTCGGGAATAACCGGGAATAGAAACGGGAGGGGGAGGGGGAGGGGGGGACCCCGCACCTGCTGCCCCTCCCCCACCCTGCAGCTGCTGCGGGGGGAGGGGAAGGAGGGGGAGGGGAGGGGAGGGGAGGGGGGGGAATCCCATTGATCCCAGCAGGGGTCCCAGTGCTCCCAGTACAGATCCCATTGATCCCAGTACAGATCCCATTGATCCCAGTGCAGATCCCATTGATCCCAATGGCTCCCAGTGCAGATCCCATTGATCCCAGTACAGATCCCATTGATCCCAGTATGGATCCCATTGATCCCATTGATCCCAGTACGGATCCCATTGATCCCAGTACGGATCCCATTGATCCCATTGATCCCAGTATGGATCCCATTGATCCCAATGGCTCCCAGTGCAGATCCCATTGATCCCAGTGCAGATCCCATTGATCCCAATGGCTCCCAGTGCAGATCCCATTGATCCCAGTACGGATCCCATTGATCCCAATGGCTCCCAGTGCAGATCCCATTGATCCCAGTACGGATCCCATTGATCCCATTGATCCCAGTGCAGATCCCATTGATCCCAGTACGGATCCCATTGACCCCAGTACGGATCCCATTGACCCCAGTACGGATCCCATTGATCCCAGTACGGATCCCATTGATCCCATTGATCCCAGTACAGATCCATTGATCCCAGTACGGATCCCATTGACCCCATTGATCCCAGTACGGATCCATTGGTCCCAGTGCTCCCAGTATGGATCCCATTGATCCCATTGATCCCAGTATGGATCCCATTGACCCCAGTACAGATCCCATTGATCCCAGTATGGATCCCAGTGATCCCAGCACTCCCAGTATGGATCCCATTGATCCCAGTGCTCCCAGTATGGATCCCATCGACCCCAGTACAGATCCCATTGATCCCAGTGCTCCCAGTACAGATCCCATTGATCCCAGTATGGATCCTGTTGATCCCAGTGCTCCCAGTATGGATCCCATTGCTTCCAATGGCTCCCAGTACGGATCCCATTGGTCCCATTGATCCCAGTACGGATCCCATTGATCCCAGTGCTCCCAGTATGGATCCCATTGATCCCAGTATGGATCCCATTGACCCCAGTGCTCCCAGTACAGATCCCATTGATCCCAATGGCTCTCAGTATGGATTCCATTGATCACAATGGATCCCATTGATCCCAGTGCTCCCAGTGCCATTCCCATTGATCCCAGTATGGATCCCACTTCTCCCAATGGCTTCCAGTATGGATCCCATTGATCCCAGTACGGATCCCATTGATCCCAATGGATCCCATTGATCCCAGCATGGATCCCAGTATGGATCCCATTGATCCCAGTATGGATCCCATTGATCCCAATGGATCCCATTGATCCCAGCATGGATCCCAGTATGGATCCCATTGATCCCAATGGATCCCATTGATCCCATTGTGTCTCTTGGCGCCACTCCCAGCCCCCCCCCCAGCCAATCAGCGCCAAGGGGGCGGGGCCAAGCTCAGCCAATCGCGTGCGAGCAACCCCGGGTGTACGACGCAGACGATGACGCGATGACGTCACAACGCCCCCTCGGGGGGGTCATCCCTGGATGTGACGTCACGACGTGGCGGGGGGGAACGACACGAGCTGACGTCACCGGCGACGTCACGACGAAACCCCGCGGTCCCCTTCCCAAGGCGCTTCCGGATTGGTTCCTTCCCAGGGCCGGAAGGGGAGGGGCAATGAGGAAGGGGGGGGTGCTGTCACGTGAGCGAGATCACGTGACGCCGCGGCGGCAGCGACTCGCGGGCGGGTAACCGGGGGGTTGGGAAAGGGGGAGATCACGTGATCGGGGGCTATGGGGCGCTATAGGGCGCTATGGGGGGCTGTGGGGCTCTATGGGGCTATATAGGGTTCTATGGGGGTCTGTGGAGGGTCTGTGGGGCTCTATGGGGGTCTATGGGGAGTCCTATGGGGTTCTATGGGGTCTATGGGGGTCTGTAGGGGTCTATGTGGGGTCTGGAGGGTCTGTGGGGCACTATGGGGGGGCTATGGGGGTCTATGTTTTGTCTATGGGGCTCTGTAGGGTCTGTGGGGAGTCTGTGGAGTCTATGGGGCTCTATGGGAGGGCTGTGGGGGTCTATGTTTTGTCTATGGGGGTCTATGGGGCTCTATAGTGGTCTATGGGGGGTCTATGGGGCTCTATAGAGGTCTGTGAGGGGTCTGTGGAAGATCTGTGGGGCTCTATGGGGGGGCTATGGGGGTCTAAGGGGGGTCTATGGGGCTCTATTGGAGTCTGTGGGGGTTTATGGGGTCTATGGGGCTCTATGGGGGGTCTATGGGGATCTGTGGGGGACTATGGGGTGTCTATAGGGGTCTGTGGGGGGTCTATGGGGCACTATGGGGGTCTGTGGAGGTCTGTGGGGGGGCAATGGGGGACTATGGGTTGTCTGTGGGGGGTCTGTGGGGCTCTATGGGAGTCTGGGGGGGGTTTGTGGGGTCTATGGGGCTCTATAGGGGTCTGTGGGGATCTGTGGGGGCTATGGGGTGTCTGTAGATGTCTATGGAGGGTTTATGGGGGTCTGTGGGGCTCTATGGGGGGTCTGTGGGCATCTATAGGGGGTCTGTGGGGGCCTGTGGGGGGTCTATGGTGGTCCATGGGGTGTCTATGGGTGTCTGTGGGGTCTGTAGGGGTCTGTGGGGGTCTATAGTGTTCTATAGCGTCTGTGTATGTCTCTGGCGCCGCTCTCTATGGGGCAGCCCCATAACCCCCCCGCATTGTTTCCCCCTCCCCAGGCCTGCCCCATGGCGTCGGGGCCGGAGCTGCTTCGCGCCGACGACACCGGCGATGGGGGGAGCCCGTCGTGCCCCACCGCGCCCACAGCGACGGCCCCTGCCCCATAGCGCCCCATAGCGACGGCTCCTGCCCCATAGCGCCCCATAGCGACGGCCCCTGCCCCACAGCGCCCCCCGGGGCCCGCCTGAGCATCGCCATTCTCTGCTACATCAACCTGCTCAACTACATGGACCGCTTCACTGTGGCCGGTACCTGGGGGGGGCTCTATGGGGCGCTATAGGGTGACATAGGGTGGCTGTGGGTCGCTCTGGGTCCCTATGGGTGCTATGGGTCCCTATGGATGCTATAGGTGTTATGGGTCCTTACAAGTTCCTATGGTTGCTATGGGTCCCTATGGGTGCTATGGGTCCCTATGGTTGCTATGGGTCCCTATGCATCCCTATGGGTGCTATGGGGCAGCCCCACATTCTCTCCCCCCCCCCCCCCCCAGGCGTCCTCCCCGATGTTGAGGATTTCTTCAGCATCGGCGACAGCAGCTCCGGGCTCCTGCAGACAGGTGCGACCCCCCCTGCCCCACACATGTGGGGCTGCCCCATAGCCTTGGGGCTCTCCCATACATAACGTTCTGAGTCACAGCTATGGGGCTGCCCTATGCATAGGGGACTGAGTCACAGCTATGAGGCTGCCCTATACATAGGGGGCTGAGCCACAGCTATGGGGCTGCCCTATGCCTAGGGGACTGAGCCACAGCTATGGGGCTGCCCTATACATAGGGGGTTGAGCCACTGCAATGGGACTGCCCCACACATAGGGATCTGCCCCACATATAGGGGCCTGCCCCCCACTTATGGGTCTGCCCCCCACTTATGGGTCTGCCCCACACATAGGGGTCTGCCCCCCACTTATGGGTCTGCCCCCCACTTATGGGTCTGCCCCACACATAGGGGTCTGCCCCACACTTATGGGGCCGCCCCACAGTGTTCATTGGCAGTTACATGGTGCTGGCGCCCCTCTGTGGCTATTGGGGGGATCGCAAGAGCCGGAAGCGGCTCCTGAGCCTCGGCCTTGCCCTATGGGCGGCTGCGACCATGGCCGGGAGCTTCGTGCCCCCCCAGGTGAGGGGCTATGGGGCGCTATGGGGCTTTATGGGGGGGGTATGGGGGTCTATGGGGCTCTATGGGGGGGTTATGGGGGTCTATGGGGCTCTATGGGGGGTTATGGGGGTCTATGGGGCTCTATGGGGGGGTTATGGGGGTCTATGGGGCTCTATGGGGGGGTTATGGGGGTCTATGGGGCTCTATAGGGGTCTTTTGGGGGGGCTATGGGGGGACTATGGGGCGCTATGAGGGAGCTGTGGGGCACTGTGGGGGTCTATGGGTGGCTATGGGGGTCTGTGGGGGGCTGAGGGTGTCTATGGGGGGGTATGGGGGATGGTCAGGGTGGGTAATGGGGTGCTTGTGGGGCAACCCCTTTATTCCCCCTACTCCACAGAGCCCACATAGACCCCATTGATCCCCATTGAGCCCCACTGATCCCCATTGACCCCCATTCACACCCATTGAACCCAGTGGTCACATAGGCCCCATTAACGTCCATAGACACCAGTAGCCCCCCATAGTCCCCCATAGACCCCCCATAGCTCGCCCTAGCCCCCCCATAGACCCCCATAGGCCACTATGGACCCCCATAGACCCCCCATAGATCCCCATAGAACCCCATCGACCCCCATAGCCCCACATAGCCTCCCCATATCCCCCCATAGACCCCCATAGCCCCACATATCCCCCCATAGCCCCCCATAGCCCCCCCATATCCCCCCATAGACACCCCCATAGCCCCCCCAGCCCCATAGCCCCCTTGGCGCAGGGGTTCTGGGCGCTGTTGCTGGCGCGGGCGCTGGTGGGTGCTGGTGAAGCCGCCTTCTCCACGGTGGCCCCGACCCTCGTGGCCGACCTGAGCCCCCCCGGGCCCCCCCGCAGCCGCGCACTGGGGGGGTTCTACCTGGCTGTGCCCCTGGGCAGGTAATGGGGGGCTATGGGGGGGTGTGGGGGGATATGGGGGGGTCTGTGGGGGGTTATGAGGGCTCTATGTGGGGATATGGGGGAGCTATGGGGGTCTGTGGGGGGATATGGGGGTCTATGGGGGGGTTATGGGGGCTATGGGGGGTCTGTGGGGGGGATATGGGGGTCTATGGGGGGGTCATGGGGGCTATGAGGGGTCTGTGGGGGGGATATGGGGGACTATGGGGGGGTCATGGGGGCTATGAGGGGTCTGGGGGGGGATATGGGGGACTATGGGGGGGTCATGGGGGCTATGAGGGGTCTGTGGGGGGGATATGGGGGTCTATGGGGGGGTCATGGGGGCTATGAGGGGTCTGTGGGGGGGATATGGGGGTCTATGGGGGGGTCATGGGGGCTATGAGGGGTCTGTGGGGGGGATATGGGGGACTATGGGGGGGTCATGGGGGCTATGAGGGGTCTGTGGGGGGGATATGGGGGTCTATGGGGGGGTCATGGGGGCTATGAGGGGTCTGTGGGGGGGATATGGGGGACTATGGGGGGGTCATGGGGGCTATGAGGGGTCTGTGGGGGGTCTGGGGCAGGATATGTGGGTCTGTGGGGGGGTTATGGGGGGCTATGAGGGGACTATGGCGGGGTCTGTGGGGGGATATGGGGGGATAATGGGGGTCTATGGGGGGGTCTATGGAGGGTTATGAGGGCTCTATGTGGGGATATGGGGGAGCTATGGGGGTCTGTGGGGGGATATGGGGGTCTATGGGGGGGTCATGGGGGCTATGAGGGGTCTGTGGGGGGGATATGGGGGACTATGGGGGGGTCTATGGAGGGTTATGAGGGGTCTATGTGGGGATATGGGGGAGCTATGGGGGTCTGTTGGGGGATATGGGGGTCTATGGGGGGTCTGGGGCAGGATATGTGGGTCTATGGGGGGGTTATGGGGGGTCTGTGGGGGGATATGGGGGGATAATGGGGGAGCTATGGGGGTCTGTGGAGGGGCTATGGGGGGCCTAGGGGATGCTATGGGGGGTCTATGGGGTGTCTATTTGGGGCTATGGGGGCCTATGGAGAGTCTATGGGGGTCTAGACGGGGGGTATGGTGGGCTATGGGGGTCTGTGGGTGTCTATGGGGCATCTTTTGGGGGCTATGGGGCTCTATGGGGGGGCTGTGGGGGTTGTATGGCAGGCCTAGGGGGAGGCCAGGTGGGTCTAGGGGGTTCTAAAGGGGGCTATGGGGGGCTGTGGGGTGCATGACCCCACATCCCCCCCCCCCCCCCCCCAGTGGCCTGGGTTACATCACGGGGGCAAAGGTCAAGGAGGTGGCAACCGATTGGCGCTGGGCCCTGCGGGTGAGAAACCCCCCCGTGACCCCATGTGACCCCCATTGATCCCATTGACCCCCATTGATCCCATTCATACCCATTGATACCCATTGATCCCCATTGATACCCATTGACCCCCATTGATCCCCATTGATCCCCATTGACCCCATTCATACCCATTGACCCCATTGATACCCATTGATACCCATTGATACCCATTGATACCCATTGATCCCATTGACCCCCATTGACCTCATTCATACCCATTGATACCCATTGACCCCCATTGATCCCATTGACCCCCATTGACCCCATTCATACCCATTGACTCCCATTGATCCCCATTGATCCCCATTGACCCCCATTGATCCCCATTGATCCCATTTGTACCCATTGATCCCCATTGACCCCCATTGATCCCATTGACCCCATTCATACCCATTGACTCCCATTGATCCCCATTGACCCCATTCATACCCATTGCCCCCCATTGACCCCCATTGATCCCCATTGACCCCATTGATCCCCATTGCCCCCCATTGCCCCCTGCAGGTGACCCCCGTGCTGGGGCTGGTGGCGCTGGCGCTGTTGGTGACCCTGGTGACCGACCCCCCCCGGGGGGGCACCGAGACCCCCCCTGGCACCCCCCTGACCCACAGCGCGTGGGGCAGCGACCTCCGGGACCTGCTCACCAAGTGACTGCATGGGGGGGCCATAGGGACTGCATGGGGGGCAGTGGGAGTCAGTGGGGACATGGGGGGCAATGGGGACATGGGGGGCAGTGGGTGTCTTATGTGTGTCTATGGGTGCCTGTGGGGGGTCTGTGGGTACCCCATGGTACCTTATGGTGCCATAGGGTGCTATTGGTAGGATAGGGTGCTGTAGGATGCCATTGGGGTACCTTTGGGTGCCATAGGGGTCCCATAGGATCCCATAGGGTGCCATAGGAGTAACATAGAATACCATAGGGTGCCATAGGGATCCCATAGGGTGCCATAGGATCCCATTGGGTGCCGTAGGGTGCCATAGGATCCCATAGGGTGCCATAGGATCCCATAGGGTGCCGTAGGATCCCATAGGGTGCCATAGGGTGCCATAGGGATCTCATAGGTCCCATAGGGTCCCATAGGAATCCCATAGGGTCCCATAGGGTGCCATAGGAATCCCATAGGGTCCCATAGGAATCCCATAGGGTCCCATAGGGTGCCATAGGAATCCGATAGGGTCCCATAGGGTGCCATAGGGTCCCACAGGGTGCCATGGGGTCCCATAGGGTGCCATGGGGTCCCATAGGGTGCCGTAGGATCCCATAGGATCCCATAGGGTGCCGTAGGGTCCCATAGGGTGCCATAGGAATCCCATGGGGTCCCATAGGGTGCCATGGGGTCCCATAGGGTGCCGTGTCCCCCCAGCCGCTCGCTGGTGCTCTCCACGCTGGGTTTCACGGCCGTGGCCTTCGTGACGGGGGCGCTGGCGCTCTGGGCCCCCGCGTTCCTGGTGCGGTGCCGGGAGGCGACGGGAAGGGGGGAGCCCTGCCCCCGGGGGCACCGCTGCGAGAGCAGCGAGAGGTGGGAGCCCCATTCATCCCCATTGACACCCATTCATCCCATTGATCCCATTGACAGCCATTCATCCCCATTGATAACCATTGACACCCATTCATCCCCATTGACACCCATTCATCCCATTGATCCCATTGACACCCATTCATCCCCATTGACACCCATTCATCCCCATTGACACCCACTGATAACCATTGACACCCATTCATCCCCATTGACACCCATTCATCCCATTGATCCCATTGACACCCATTCATCCCCATTGATAACCATTGACACCCATTCATCCCCATTGACACCCATTCATCCCATTGACACCCATTCATCCCCATTGACACCCACTGATAACCATTGACACCCATTCATCCCCATTGACACCCACTGATAACCATTGACACCCATTCATCCCCATTGACACCCACTGATAACCATTGACACCCATTCATCCCCATTGACACCCATTCATCCCATTGATCCCATTGACACCCATTCATCCCCATTGATAACCATTGACACCCATTCATCCCCATTGACACCCATTCATCCCATTGATCCCATTGACACCCATTCATCCCCATTGACACCCATTCATCCCATTGATCCCATTGACACCCATTCATCCCCATTGACACCCATTCATCCCATTGATCCCATTGACACCCATTCATCCCCATTGATCCCATTGATAACCATTGATCCCATTGATAACCATTGACACCCATTCATCCCATTGATCCCATTGATAACCATTGATCCCATTGATAACCATTGACACCCATTCATCCCCATTGACACCCATTCATCCCATTGATCCCATTGACACCCATTCATCCCCATTGACACCCACTGATAACCATTGACACCCATTCATCCCCATTGACACCCATTCATCCCATTGATAACCATTGACACCCATTCATCCCATTGATCCCATTGATAACCATTGATCCCATTGATAACCATTGACACCCATTCATCCCCATTGACACCCATTCATCCCATTGATCCCATTGACAGCCATTCATCCCCATTGATAACCATTGACACCCATTCATCCCCATTGACACCCATTCATCCCATTGATCCCATTGACACCCATTCATCCCCATTGACACCCATTCATCCCCATTGACACCCACTGATAACCATTGACACCCATTCATCCCCATTGACACCCATTCATCCCATTGATCCCATTGACACCCATTCATCCCCATTGATAACCATTGACACCCATTCATCCCCATTGACACCCATTCATCCCATTGACACCCATTCATCCCCATTGACACCCACTGATAACCATTGACACCCATTCATCCCCATTGACACCCACTGATAACCATTGACACCCATTCATCCCCATTGACACCCACTGATAACCATTGACACCCATTCATCCCCATTGACACCCATTCATCCCATTGATCCCATTGACACCCATTCATCCCCATTGATAACCATTGACACCCATTCATCCCCATTGACACCCATTCATCCCATTGATCCCATTGACACCCATTCATCCCCATTGACACCCATTCATCCCATTGATCCCATTGACACCCATTCATCCCCATTGACACCCATTCATCCCATTGATCCCATTGACACCCATTCATCCCCATTGATCCCATTGATAACCATTGATCCCATTGATAACCATTGACACCCATTCATCCCATTGATCCCATTGATAACCATTGATCCCATTGATAACCATTGACACCCATTCATCCCCATTGACACCCATTCATCCCATTGATCCCATTGACACCCATTCATCCCCATTGACACCCACTGATAACCATTGACACCCATTCATCCCCATTGACACCCATTCATCCCATTGATAACCATTGACACCCATTCATCCCATTGATCCCATTGATAACCATTGATCCCATTGATAACCATTGACACCCATTCATCCCCATTGACACCCATTCATCCCATTGATCCCATTGACACCCATTCATCCCCATTGACACCCACTGATAACCATTGACACCCATTCATCCCCATTGACACCCATTCATCCCCATTGATAACCATTGACACCCATTCATCCCATTGATCCCATTGATAACCATTGATCCCATTGATAACCATTGACACCCATTCATCCCCATTGACACCCATTCATCCCATTGATCCCATTGACACCCATTCATCCCCATTGACACCCACTGATAACCATTGACACCCATTCATCCCCATTGACACCCATTCATCCCATTGATCCCATTGACACCCATTCATCCCCATTGACACCCACTGATAACCATTGACACCCATTCATCCCCATTGACACCCATTCATCCCATTGATCCCATTGACACCCATTCATCCCCATTGACACCCATTCATCCCATTGATCCCTTTGACACCCATTCATCCCCATTGACACCCATTCATCCCATTGATCCCATTGACACCCATTGATCCCATTGATAACCATTGACACCCATTCATCCCCATTGACACCCATTCATCCCATTGATCCCATTGATAACCATTGATAACCATTGATAACCATTGACACCCATTCATCCCCATTGACACCCATTCATCCCATTGATCCCATTGATAACCATTGATCCCATTGATACCCATTGACACCCATTGATCCCATTGATAACCATTGATAACCATTGACACCCATTCATCCCCATTGACACCCATTGATCCCATTGATAGCCATTGATCCCATTGATCCCCATTGACACCCATTGATAACCATTGATCCCATTGATAGCCATTGATCCCATTGATAGCCATTAACACCCATTGATCCCATTGATAACCCATTGATAACCCATTGATCCCATTGGCATCCATTGATCCCATTGATAACCCATTGATCCCATTGATAACCCATTCATCCCAATGATAACCTATTGATACCCATTGATCCCATTGATACCCATTCATACCCATTGATAACCCACTGATCCCACTGATAACTCATTGATGCCCATTGATACCCATTGATTACCCTTTGATACCCATTGATAACCCCTTACCCCCATTTCCCCCATCACCCCCTTACCCCCATTGCCCCCATCACACCATTTCCCCCATCACCCCCATTATCCCCATTGCCCCCCATTACCCCATTGCCTCCATTACCCCCATAGCCCCCATTGACCCCCATCTCCCCACTTCCCAGCATGCTCTTCGGAGCTCTGACGGTGGCCTCGGGGGTGCTGGGGGTGGGGCTGGGGGCGGAGCTTTCCCGGCGCTGGAGCCCCCATTGCCCCCGGGCTGAGCCCCTGCTCTGCGCTATGGGGCTGCTGGGGGCTGCCCCCTGCCTGCTGCTCGCCATCATGGCCGCCCGGCCCAGCCCCACGGCGGCCTATGTGAGTGCCTATGGGGTGTCAATGGGGGGACTATGAGGGTCTATGGGGTGTTTATGGGGGTCTGTGGGGGCTATGTGGGTCTATGGGATGGCAAGGGGGTGTCTGTGGGGTGGCTGTGGGAGTCTGTGTGGGTCTATGATTATTTGTGGGGGGCTATAGGGCTCTCTGGGGGGCTATGGGGCGGCTATGGCATATCTGTGGGTCTTTATGCTGTCTCTGTGGGGTGTCTGTGGGTCTCTATGGGGTCTCTATGGGTTTCTATGGGGTCTCTGGGTTTCTATGGGGTCTTGATGGGGTCTCTATGGGGTCTCTATGGGTCTCTGTGGGGTCTCTGTGGGGTGTCTGTGTGTTTCTATGGGGTCTCTATGGGTCTCTCCCCACAGATCTTCATCTTCCTGGGGGAGTCGCTGCTCAGCCTCAACTGGGCCATCGTGGCTGAGATCCTTATGGTGGGTCCTGCCCCATAGGCCCCCACAAACCCCCCATAGACACCCCATATCCCTCCATAGACCCCTCCATAGACCCCCCATAGACCCCCCATAGACCCCCATAGAGCCCCATAGACCCCTATAGACCCCCATAGCCCCCCATAGATCCTCCATAGACCCCCTTAGAACGCCCATAGCCCCCCACAGCCCCACATAGCCCCCCATAGATCCCCCATAGATCTCCACAGACACCTATATACCCCCATAGACCCCCATAGGCCCTCCATAGACCCCCCATAAAGACCCCTCAGACCCCCATAGACCCTTATAGTCCCCAATAGACCCCCATAAAGACCCCCATAGACCCCTATAGCCCCCCCCATAGACCCCTGTAGAACCCCCTATCCCCCCATCTCCCCCACAGATGGGTCCATGTGTATGGTTATGGGGGAAGGGGGGGGGTCCGTGTGTGATCACGTGACCTCCCCCCCCAGCACGTGGTGGTGCCCACACGTCGCTCCACGGCCGAGGCGCTGCAGATCATCACCTCCCACCTGCTGGGGGACGCCGGGAGCCCCGTGCTCGTGGGGGCGGTCAGACAGGGGCTATGGGGGATATGGGGGTCTGTGGAGGGGCTATGGGGGGGGCTATGGGAGGCTATGGGGGGTCTATGGGGGGTCTGGGGGGGGCTATGGGGGTCTATGGAGGCTCTGGGGGGGGGGCTATGGGGGGTCTGGGGGGGGCTATGGGGGTCTATGGAGGCTCTGGGGGGTCTGGGGGGGTCTGTGGAGGGGCTATGGGGAGCTATGGGGGTCTATGGGAGGCTGTGGTGGTCTGTGTGGTGGTTATGGGCATCTGTGGGTTTCTATGGGCATCTATGGGGCGGGCTATGGGGGTCTGTGGGTGGGCTATGGGGGGTCTATGGGGGGCTATGGAAGGGTCTATGGGGGTTTGTGGGGTGTATATGGGTGTCTATGGGGTGTATATGTGGGTGTATGGGTGTCAGTGGTTGTCTGGGGGGGGCTATGGGTGGGGTACGAGAGTCAATAGGGATCAATGGGGGTCAATGGGGATCAATGGAGATCAATGGGAGTCAATGGGGATCAATGGGAATCAATGGGAGTCAATGGGAATCAATGGGCATCAGTGGGAATCAGTGGGGTCAATGGGAGTCAATGGGAGTCAATGGGGATCAATGGGAGTCAATGGGCATCAATGGGCCTCAAGGGGCATGAATGGGCCCGGGCGCTGACCCCGCCCCTTCGGTTCCCACGCCCGCAGCTCAGTGATTGGCTGCGCTCCTCCGCCGGCCCCGCCCCTTCCTCCCTGGCGGCCGCGCGCGCGCTGGGGCTCGCGCTCCTGCTCTGCCCCTTCGTGGCCGCGCTCGGGGGCGGGGCCTTCCTGGGCACCGCCTCCGCCTTCCCACGTGACCGCCGGCGCGCGCGGCTACTGGCGCGGGGTGAGCGGGACCCATAGGGACCCCATAGAGACCCATAGAGACCCCATAGGGACCCATAGGGACCCATAGAGACCCCATAGGGACCCATAGAGACCCATAGGGACCCATAGAGACCCCATAGAGACCCCATAGAGACCCCATAGGGACCCCATAGACACCCATAGGGACCCCATAGAGACCCCATAGGGACCCATAGAGACCCATAGGGACCCATAGAGACCCCATAGAGACCCCATAGGGACCCCATAGAGACCCCATAGGGACCCATAGAGACCCCATAGAGACCCCAATCGGGACCTCATAGAGACCCATAGGGACCCATAGAGACCCCATAGGGACCCCATAGAGAGCCGTAGAGACCCATAGGGACATATAGGGATCCATAGGGACCCCATAGGGAACCATAGAGACCCCATAGAGAACCATGGAGACCTCATAGAGACCCCATGGAGACCCCATAGAGACCCCATAGGGACCCATAGAGACCCCATAGGGACCCATAAAGACCACATAGAGACCCCATAGGGACCCATAGAGACCCCATAGGGACCCCATAGAGAACCCGTAGGGACCCATGGAGACCCCATAGAGACCCCATAGGGACCCATAGAGACCCCATAGGGACCCATAAAGACCACATAGAGACCCCATAGGGACCCATAGAGACCCCATAGGGACCCCATAGAGAACCCGTAGGGACCCACAGAGACCCCATAGGGACCCATAGAGACCCCATGGGGACCCATGAAGACCCCATAGAGACTCCATAGCGACCCATAGCGACCCCACAGAGACCCATAGGGCCCCACAGTGACCCCTTTGTCCCCCCCCCATAGGTCTGGACCCCGATGACGAGGACCTCGAGGACCCCGATGACCTCGTGGTGCCACAGGGGGGGCGCCCCACCAAGGTGCCCGTGGCCCATGTGCTGTCCTGACCCCCATCTATGGGGCCCAGACCTATATCAGTGGGGCACAGACCCACATCTACGGGGCACAGACCCACATAAGGGGGTCATTCGTTGCCCCCCAATGGAGGATCCCGACCCACATCTATGGGGTTCTGACCCACCTAAAGGGGTCATTGACCCCCCAGTGGAGGATCCTGACCCAAATCTATAGGGCCCAGACCCACGTCTGCAGGTCCCGCACTCAGAATGGGGGTCCTGGACCCACCATGGAGGATCCTGACCCACATCTATGGGGCCCAGACCCACATCTCTGGGCCTCTGACCCACATAAGGGGGTCACTGACTCACAGCGAAGGATCCTGACCCACATCTATGGGGCCCAGACCCACATCTATGGGGCACAAGCACCGCAGCCCCCAATAAACCTGTTTGGACACCCCAAGTGCTGACTTTGGCTCCTCTGTGGTCCCCTGCCCCACATCTCCCCACACCCCATTGCCTGCCCCACCACCCCCCGTACGTGCCCCATAACCTACCCCATATCTGCCCCATAACCTGACTCATTGCCTGCCCCATAACCAGCCCCATAACCTACCCCATATCTGCCCCATAACCTGACTCATTGCCTGCCCCATAACCTGCCCCATCAACAGCCCCACCCCCGCCCCACACCCTCCTCCCCCGCACCCCCCCTCCTGCCCCACATCCCGCCCCACAGCGCGTGGGAGAACCCGTCCTGCCGCTCCCGCCCCGCCCCACAGCGCCGTGGGGCCGGAGCCGGGGTCAGAGCCGGAGCCTGTGGGGCAGGGGCCACTTGTGGGGCAGAGCCGCGGCCATGGCGCCCCCCAGCGCCACCCCCCTCCCGCTGCTGCTGCTGCTGCTGCTGGCCCCACACCGGAGCCACGGCTGCGACCGGACCCACGGCGGAGAGGACTCAGGTGAGAGCTATGGGGCTATGGGGGGGCACGAGGCAATGGGTGTCAATGGGGCTATGGGGTAATGGGGGGCTATGGGGGTGCATGAGGCAATGGGTGTCAATGGGGCTATGGGGGCTATGGGGCTCTATGGGGTAATGGGGGGCTATGGGGCTCTATGGGGCAATGGGGATCTATGGGGCAATAAGGGGCTATGGGGCAATGGGGATCTATGGGGGTCTATGGGGCAATGGGGGGTCTATGGGGCAATGGGGATCCATGGGGCAATGGCGATCTATGAGGGTCTATGGGGCTCTATGGGGCAATGGGGGGATCTATGGGTCAAGTGACACCCCCGTTTGTTCCCCCCCCACAGTGAACTGGGAGAAGCTCGGTGAGACACCCCATACCCCATACCCTATATCCCCATGTGTCCCTATGTATCCCCATATATCCCCATGTGTCCCTATGTATCCCCATATATCCCTATATATCCCTATGTATCCCCATATATCCCTATATATCCCTATGTATCCCCATATATCCCTATGTATCCCTATGTATCCCCATATATCCCTATATATCCCTATGTATCCCCATATATCCCTATATATCCCTATGTATCTCTATATATCCCTATATATCCCTATGTATCCCCATATATCCCTATGTATCCCTATGTATCCCCATATATCCCTATATATCCCTATGTATCCCCATATATCCCTATATATCCCTATGTATCCCCATATATCCCTATATATCCCTATGTATCCCCATATATCCCTATATATCCCTATGTATCCCCATATATCCCTATATATCCCTATGTATCTCTATATATCCCTATATATCCCTATGTATCCCCATATATCCCTATGTATCCCTATGTATCCCCATATATCCCTATATATCCCTATGTATCCCCATATATCCCCATGTGTCCCTATGTATCCCCATATATCCCTATATATCCCTATGTATCCCCATATATCCCTATATATCCCTATGTATCCCCATATATCCCTATATATCCCTATGTATCCCCATATATCCCTATATATCCCTATGTATCCCCATATATCCCTATATATCACTATGTATCCCCATATATCCCTATGTATCCCTATGTATCCCCATATATCCCTATATATCCCTATGTATCTCTATATATCCCTATATATCCCTATGTATCCCCATATATCCCTATATATCCCTATGTATCCCCATATATCCCTATATATCCCTATGTATCTCTATATATCCCTATACCTACCCGTATCTCCCTTTATCTCCCCACATCTCCCCATATCTCCCTATATCTCCCCATATCTCCATTTATCTCCCCATATCTCCCCATATCTCCCTATATCTCCCCATATCTCCCCACATCTCCCCATATCTCCCTATATCTCCCCATATCTCCCCACATCTCCCTATATCTCCCCATGTCTCCCCGTATCTCTCCACATCTCCTCATATCTCCCTATATCTCCCCACATCTCCCTATATCTCTCCATATCTCCCCATATCCCTCCATATCCCCCCATATCTCCCCATATCCCCCCACATCCCCCCATATCTCCCCACATCTCCCCATATCCCCCCATATCTCCCCATATCTCCCCACATCTCCCCCCATCTCCCCCCATCTCCCCCCATCTCCCCCCATCTCCCCACATCTCCCCATGTCTCCATTTATCTCCCCACATCCCCCCCCATCTCCCCACATCTCCCCACGGATCCCCATCGCACCCCTCTCCCCCCCCATAGGCTGCGGCCTCCCTGTGGCGCCCCCTGGCGGCCCGGAGGTTCGCAACGTCGGGGGCGAGGACGCGGCGCCGGGGGCGTGGCCTTGGACGGGGGCGTTGCTGCGCCGGGGGGGTCACGTGTGCGGAGCCTCCCTCGTGGCCCCCGAGTGGGTCCTGACGGCTGCGCACTGCTTCCAGGAGTGAGTGCCCCATAGCGACCCATAGCGACCCATAGCGACCCATAGCGACCCATAGCGACACATAGAGACCCATAGCGACACATAGAGACCCATAGCGACCCATAGCGACCCATAGCGACCCATAGAGACCCCATAGGGACCCCATAGGGACCCATAGAGACCCATAGAGACCCCATAGGGACCCATAGAGACCTATAGAGACCCCATAGGGACCCATAGAGACCTATAGAGACCCCATAGGGACCCATAGAGACCCATAGCGACCCATAGAGACCCCATAGGGACCCATAGAGACCCATAGCAACCCATAGCCAACCATAGGGACCCATAGAGAAACTTAGAGACCCATTTATTCCCCATCCAGCCCCACTGATACCCCCGTTTGAAGGCATTGATCCCCTTTGGCACCCATTGATCCCCATTGACCCCCATTGACTCCCATTGGCTCCCATTGACTGCCATTGACCACCATTGACCCCCATTGACTCTCATTGACCCCTATTGATCCCCATTGATCCCCATTGACCCCTATTGATCCCCATTGACCACCATTGAACTCCATTGACCCCTATTGATCCCCATTCACCGCCATTGACTCTCATTGATCCCCATTGGCTCCCATTGACTGCCATTGACCACCATTGACCCCCGTTGACTATCATTGACCCCCATTGATCCCCATTGACCCCTATTGATCCCCATTGACCCCCATTGACCCCTATTGATCCCCATTGACCACCGTTGACCCCCATTGACCCCTATTGATCACCATTGACCCCCGTTGAGCCCCATTGGCCCCTATTGATCCCCATTGACCCCTATTGATCCCCATTGACCGCCATTGACTCTCATTGATCCCCATTGGCTCCCATTGACCACCATTGATCCCCATTGGCTCCCATTGTCCCCCATTGAGTTCCATTGATCCCCATTGATCTCCATTGATACCTATTGATCCCCATTGTCCCGCATTGATGCCCATTGATCCCCATTGCCCCCCATTGACTCCCATTGCCCCCCATTGCCCCCCATTGACCCCATTGACTTTCGTTGACTCCCATTGATTCCCGTTGACCCCCATTGACTTTCTTTGATTCCCATTGATCCCCATTGTCCCCCATTGCCTCCCATTGCCCCCCATTGACTCCCATTGACTTTCATTGACTCCCATTGATTCCTGTTGACCCCCATTGACTTTCATTGATTCCCATTGCCCCCCATTGACTCCCATTGACCCCATTGACTCCCATTGACCCCATTGACTTTCATTGACTCCCATTGACTTTCATTGACTCCCATTGATTCCCACTGACCCCCATTGACTTTCATTGATTCCCATTGATCCCCATTGACTTCCATTGCCCCCCTTTGCCCACCATTCCCCCCCATTGACTCCCACTGCCCCCCATTGCCCCCCACTGATCCCCATTGACCCCTATTGATCCCCATTGACCGCCATTGACTCTCATTGATCCCCATTGGCTCCCATTGATCCCCATTGGCTCCCATTGTCCCCCATTGAGTTCCATTGATCCCCATTGATCTCCATTGATACCTATTGATCCCCATTGTCCCGCATTGATGCCCATTGATCCCCATTGCCCCCCATTGACTCCCATTGCCCCCCATTGACCCCATTGACTTTCATTGACTCCCATTGATTCCCGTTGACCCCCATTGACTTTCATTGATTCCCGTTGACCCCCATTGACTTTCATTGATTCCCATTGCCCCCCATTGACTCCCATTGCCTCCCATTGCCCCCCATTGACTCCCATTGACTTTCATTGACTCCCATTGATTCCTGTTGACCCCCATTGACTTTCATTGATTCCCATTGCCCCCCATTGACTCCCATTGACCCCATTGACTCCCATTGACCCCATTGACTTTCATTGACTCCCATTGACTTTCATTGACTCCCATTGATTCCCACTGACCCCCATTGACTTTCATTGATTCCCATTGATCCCCATTGACTTCCATTGCCCCCCTTTGCCCACCATTCCCCCCCATTGACTCCCACTGACCCCCCAGGAGCCGTGACCCCCGCCTGTACTCGGTGCTGCTGGGCTCGCAGTGGCTGCCCCCCCGGGCCGGGCCGTCGCAAGGCCTCGTGGTGCCGGTGGCCGAGGTGCTGCCGCACCCGCGGTACCGCGGCGAGGCCACGAGCGGGGACGTGGCCCTGGCGCGCCTGGCGCGAGCCGTGCCCCTGGGCCCCCGCGTGCTCCCCGTCTGCCTGCCCCCCCCCGGGCCCGCATTCCCCCCCCCCGGAGCCCGCTGCGTGGCCACCGGCTGGGGGGAGGCGCGGGATGGAGGTGAGGGGGAGGGGGAAGGGGGGGAAGGGGGGCAATGGGGGGGAATGGGGGGGAATAGGGATTAATGGGGGGCAATGGGGATGAATGGGGGAGAATGGGGGTCAATGGGGATCAATGGGGATGTATGGGGGGCAATGGGGATTAATGGGGGTAATGGGGATGAATGGGGGAGAATGGGGGTCAATGGGGATGTATGGGGATGTATGGGGGGCAATGGGGATTAATGGGGGTAATGGGGATGAATGGGGGAGAATGGGGGTCAATGGGGATGTATGGGGATGTATGGGGGGCAATGGGGATTAATGGGGGTAATGGGGATGAATGGGGGAGAATGGGGGTCAATGGGGTCAATGGGGATCAATGGGGATCAATGGGGGCAATGGGGGTCAATGGAGGCAATTGGGGGAATGGGGGTCAATGGGGATCAATGGGGTCAATGGGCGGAATGGAGGAGAATGGTGGCAGTGGGGGGCAATGGGGGGGAATGGGGAACAATGGGGGCAATGGGGAGCAATGGGGGTCAATGGGAGTCAACGGGGATCAATGGGGGAATGGGGGCAATCGGCATCAATGGGCATGAATGGGCGTCAATGGGGGCAATGGGATCAATGGGGGAATGGGGGCAATGAGGGGGAATGGGGGTAATGGGGTCAATGGGGATCAATGGGGGGAATAGGGGGCAATGGGCGTCAACGGGAATCAACGGGGGTCCAATGGAATCAATGGGGGCAGTGGGGGAGATGGGGGTCAACCGAATTCAATGGGGGGCAACTGAACCCAATGGGACCCTATAGCCCCCCATAGACCCCCATTGTCCCCCCAAGCTGCCCCCCGGCGCCTGCAGGAGCTGGAGGTGCCGGTGCTGGCGCTGAGCACGTGCCGGCGCCTCTACGGCATCGATATGGGGCGGGCGCTGCCGCCGCGCGCCATCCACGCCGACATGGTGTGTGCCGGCTACGCCGAGGGGCAGCGCGACACCTGCAAGGTGAGGCCCACAGAGACCCACAGAGACCCATAGAGACCCACAGAGACCCATAGAGACCCATAGAGATCCATAGAGACCCACAGAGACCCACAGAGACCCAGAGAGACCCAGAGAGACCCAGAGAGACCCATAGAGACCCACAAAGAGCCCCAGTGAGACCCATAGAGACCCATAGAGACCCACAGAGACCCATAGAGATCCATAGAGACCCACAGAGACCCACAGAGACCCAGAGAGACCCAGAGAGACCCAGAGAGACCCATAGAGACCCACAAAGAGCCCCAGTGAGACCCATAGAGACCCATAGAGACCCCATAGAGACCCACAGAGCGCCCCATAGCAACCCATATAGAGATCCATAGCGACCCATAGAGCCCCATATAGAGATCCATAGCGACCCAGAGAGCCCCATAGAGAGCCCCATAGAGCCCCATAGCCCCCCCATAGCGACCCATAGAGACCCATAGCGACCCATAGAGCCCCATAGAGAGCCCCATAGAGCCCCATAGCCCCCCCATAGCGACCCATAGAGACCCATAGCGACCCATAGAACCCCATAGAGAGCCCCATCGAGCCCCATAGCCCCCCCATAGCGACCCATAGAGACCCATAGCGACCCATAGAGACCCATAGAGAGCCCCATAGCGCCCCATAGCCCCCCATAGCAACCCATAGCGACCCATAGAGCACCCCATAGAGCCTCTTAGTGACCCACAGAGCCCCATAGAGCCCCATAGCCCCCCCATAGCAACCCATAGCAACCCATAGCGACCCATAGAGCACCCCATAGCGACCCATAGAGACCCATAGCGACCCATAGAGCCCCACAGAGCACCCCATAGAGCCTCTTAGTGACCCATAGCCCCCCCATAGCGCCCCATAGCGCCCCATAGCGACCCATAGAGCCCCACAGAGCACCCCATAGAGCCTCTTAGTGACCCACAGAGCCCCATAGAGCCCCATAGCCCCCCCATAGCAACCCATAGCGACCCATAGAGACCCACAGAGCACCCCATAGAGCCTCTTAGTGACCCACAGAGCCCCATAGAGCCCCATAGCCCCCCCATAGCAACCCATAGCGACCCATAGAGACCCACAGAGCACCCCATAGAGCCTCTTAGTGACCCACAGAGCCCCATAGCGCCCCATAGCGCCCCATAGCCCCCCCCCCTAACCCCCTGCCCTCCCCCCCAGGGTGACTCCGGGGGCCCCCTGTCCTGCCGGGCCGGGGGGGGTCGCTGGGCGCTCGCGGGGGTCGTGAGTTGGGGGCAGGGCTGCGGGGTCCCGAACCGGCCCGGGGTCTACACCCGCGTCAGCGCCTACGTCACCTGGATCCGCCCCCGCGCCCCCGGCGCCGCCTTCCTCGGACACGCCCCCCTCGGCCCCGCGGGGACCAATGGGAGCGCTCGCAGCGCGGGAGGGGCCGCGGGCGTCATCGCCGTGGGGCTCCTGGTGGCAGCCTTAAAGGGGCAATGGGGGCGTTGAATGGGGAAGGGGGGGGGTATGGGGGCAATGGGGGGGTGAATGGGGGTATGGGGGGGGCTTAAAGGGGCAATGGGGGGGTTGAATGGGGGGGGTATGGGGGGGTGAATGGGGGTATGGGGGGACCCTTAAAGGGGCAATGGGGGCGTTAAGGGGGCAATGGGGGGGTGAATGGGGCTAGGGGGGGTCTTAAAGGGGCAATGGAGGAGTGAATGGGGGTATGAGGGAGCCTTAAACGGGCAATGGGGGCCTTAAAGGGGCAATGGGGGCGTTAAGGGGGCAATGGGGGGGTGAATGGGGGTATGGGGGGGTCTTAAAGGGGCAATGGGGGGGTTAAAGGGGCAATGGGGGGGTATGGGGGGACCTTAAAGGGGCAATGGGGGGTTAAAGGGGCAATGGGGGCATTGAATGGGGGTACGGGGGGGCCTTAAAGGGGCAATGGGGGGGTTAAAGGGGCAATGGAGAACTTGAATGCGGCAATGGGGTCTTTAAATGGGGCTATGGGGGCTTTAAATGGTCAATGGGGGGGTGAAGGGGCTAGGGGGTGTCTTAAAGGGCCAATGGGGGGGTTAAAGGGGCAATGGGGGAGTTAAAGGGGCAATGGGGCCTTAAAGGGGCAATGGAGGGGTTAAAGAGGCAATAGGGGTCTTAAAGGGGCAATGGGGCCTTAAAGGGGCAATGGGGCCTTAAAGGGGCAATGGAGGGGTTAAAGAGGCAATAGGGGTCTTAAAGGGGCAATGGGGCCTTAAAGGGGCAATGGGGCCTTAAAGGGGCAATGGAGGGGTTAAAGAGGCAATAGGGGTCTTAAAGGGGCAATGGGGGTCTTAAAGGGGCAATGGAGGCCTCCAACCCCTATCGGAGCCCCTCCCCCAGGCCCTATGGGGGGGCCCCCCCCGCGTGTCCCAATTGGCGGGAAATAAAGGACAAGGCGGGAAACCACGTGTGTGGGGGCGGGGCCGGCGCTGATTGGCTGCTGAGGGAAAGGGGCGGGGCCTGCTCGCATGGTTGGCGGGAATTACCCCACTCAAGAGCCACGTGGTACAGATAGAGGCCGCCCCATAGCACTGCCCCATAGCATTGCCCCATAGCATTGCCCCATAGCGCTGCCCCATAGCATTGCCCCATAGCGCTGCCCCATAGCGCTGCCCCATAGCATTGCCCCATAGCGCTGCTCCATAGTGCTGCCTCATAGCGCTGCCCCATAGCATTACCTCATAGCGCTGCCCCATAGCATTGCCCCATAGCGCTGCCCCATAGCATTGCCCCATAGCGCTGCTCCATAGCATTGCCCCATAGCGCTGCCCCATAGCATTACCTCATAGCGCTGCCCCATAGCATTGCCCTTAGCACAGCCCCATAGCATTGCCCCATAGCATTGCTCCATAGCATCACTTCGTAGCGCTGCCCCATAACCTTGCCCCATAGCATTGCCCCATAGCCCAGCCCCACAGCTGCCCCATAAGTGCCACCCGCGGCGTCTGAGTTGGGGCACAGCTTTATTCAGTGGGGCAGGGGAGGGAACTATGGGTCCCAGTGGGGATCTATGGGTCCCATGATGGGGATGCGTCAGTCGTAGGGGTGGATCTGTGGGTCCAGGCAATCTCTATGGGTCTCTGTGGGGTCCAGATGGATCCCTATGGGTCCCTATGGGGTCTCTCAGGCACCGTCAGCTCTCTTGGGGGTCACAATAAATAAGGGGGGGTCCCGGGTGTGGGGCAGCTCCAGAAACCTGTGGGGAGATGGGGGTCAGAGGGGACGGGGCTATGGGGAAGGGGAGGGGCTATGGGGAAGGGGTATGGGGAGGGGCTATGAGGAGGGGGAGGGGCCATGGGAGTCACGTGACCTAGAAGTTCTCGTAGTCGCCTCCATTGTCCTCGCTCTCGCTCGCTGTTGGGGGAGGGGAAGGGGGCGGGGTCAGAGAGGTCACGTGGCGGTGGTGGGGCGGTCACGTGGTGGGGGGGTGTCACGTGGGGGTCACTCACCACCGCCCGCGGGGAGGTTGATGTACTCGAGGCTGCCGCCTATGGGGCAGAGAGAACAGAGCGGCTATGGGGCTGTCGGGCTCTATGGGGCTCTATGGGTCCCTGTGGGGTCTTTATAGGGCTCTATGGGGTCTCTATGGGGTCTCTATGGGTCTCTATGGGTCTCTATGGGTCCCTATGTGTCTCTATGGGGTCTCTATGGGTCTCTATGGGTCTCTATGGGGTCTCTATGGGTCTCTATGTGTCTCTATAGGTCTCTATGGGGCTCTATGGGGCTCTATGGGGTCTCTATGGGTCTCTATGGGTCTCTATGGGTCTCTATGTGTCTCTATAGGTCTCTATGGGGCTCTATGGGGCTCTATGGGGTCTCTATGGGTCTCTATGGGTCTCTATGGGTCTCTATGGGGTCTCTATGGGTCTCTATGGGTCTCCATGGGTCTCTATGGGGTCTCTATGGGTCTCTATGGGTCTCTATGGGTCTCTATGGGGTCTCTATGGCTCTCTATGGGGTCTCTATGGGGTCTCTATGGGTCTCTATGGGTCTCTATGGGTCTCTATGGGGTCTCTATGTGTCTCTATGGGGTCTCTATGGGGTCTCTATGGGTCTCTATGGGTCTCTATGGGTCTCTATGGGTCTCTGTCGGGTCTCTATGGGTCTCTATGGGTCTCTATGGGTCTCTATGTGTCTCTATGGGGTCTCTATGGGTCTCTATGGGTCTCTATGGGTCTCTATGGGTCTCTATGGGGTCTCTATGTGTCTCTATGGGGTCTCTATGGGGTCTCTATGGGTCTCTATGGGTCTCTATGGGTCTCTGTGGGTCTCTATGGGGTCTCTATGGGGTCTCTATGTGTCTCTATGGGTCTCTATGGGTCTCTATGGGTCTCTATGGGTCTCTATGGGTCTCTATGGGGTCTCTATGTGTCTCTATGGGGTCTCTATGGGGTCTCTATGGGTCTCTATGGGTCTCTGTGGGTCTCTGTGGGTCTCTATGGGGTCTCTATGGGTCTCTATGGGGTCTCTATGTGTCTCTATGGGTCTCTATGGGGTCTCTATGGGTCTCTATGGGGTCTCTATGTGTCTCTATGGGTCTCTATGGGTCTCTATGGGTCTCTATGGGGTCTCTATGGGTCTCTATGGGTCTCTATGGGTCTCACCAAAGGGGCTCTGGGCTCCATCCGGGACGTTCTCGTAGTCGCCACCAGGGGGCGCTGTTGGCGGGAAAAGGTCACGTGGGGTCAATGGGGCCCAATGAGCTCAAAGGGGAGGGGTTATTGGGGGGATCAATGGGGGTCACGTGGGGACGGGAGGGGGTCGGGTCACGTGGTCGCCGCCCACCCGCGCGGTCGCTCTCCTCGTCCGGGATGACGTCACTGCGGGAGGGGGAGGGGTCAGCCGCGGTCACGTGATGGGGGGGAGGGGGGGGGATGGGGGACACGTGACTCACACGTAGCCGGTGACGTAGGTGTCGTTGGTGTAATCGTCATCGCGCTCCTCGGCGGGGGTTGGGGCCCGGGGCGGGGGGGGGAGGGGGGAGCTGCGGGGGGGGGCGGGGCCACATGGACCCAACCCTGCCCCATAGCGCCCCATAGGGACCCATAGAGACCCATAGAGACCCCATAGAGACCCATAGAGACCCCATAGAGACCCCACAGGGACCCATAGAGACCCATAGAGACCCATAGAGACCCCATAGAGACCCATAGAGACCCCATAGAGACCCCATAGGGACCCATAGAGACCCATAGAGACCGATAGAGATTTCATAGAGACCCATAGAGACCCCCCAGAGACCCATAGACACCCCATAGAGACCCATGGAGACCCCTTAGGGACCCATAGAGAACCCATAGAGACCCATAGAGACCCCACAGAGAACCCATAGAGACCCATAGAGACCCCACAGAGACCCTATAGAGACCCATAGAGACCCATAGAGACCCCATGGAGACCCCATAGAGACCCATAGATTTCCCCCCTGCCCCATAGACCCCCATTGCCCCACATGTCACCCACGGGATGGTCTCAGTCAGGTGCCCCCATTGAAGCGGCTGTGGTGGGGGACCTGGGGGGAGATGTGGGGCAGAGACACGCTATGGGGCAGTGCTATGGGGAAGGGCTATGGGGCAGCGCTACGGGGCAGCGGTATAGGGCAGGGCTATGGGGCAGAACAGTGCTATGGGGTAGGGCTATGGGGCAGCGCTATGGGGCAGGGCATTGGGGCTGGGCTACGGTGGAGTGCTATGGGGCAGGGCTATGGGGCAGTGCTATGGGGCAGGGCTATGGGGCAGGGCTATGGGCAGTGATATGGGGCAAGGCAATGCGGCTGGGATATGGGGCAGCGCTGTGGGGCAGGGCAATGGGGCAGGGCTATGGGGCAGCGCTATGGGGCAGGGCAATGGGGCTGGGCTATGGTGGAGTGCTATGGGGCAGGGCTCTGGGTGGTGATATGGGGCAGGGCTATGGGGCAGGGCTATGGGTCTCGATGACGTCACTCACATCTCTGGGGCGGGAGGACCACGAAGGTGCCGGGGGGGCGGGGCCTGGGGGGGGGAGGGGGAGGGGTCAGAGCCCGCCCCCGCAGCGGCCCCGCCCCCCGCCCCTCCCCCACTCACTTGTCCGGGTCCAGGGGGGCGCCGTGACCTGGGGGGAGGGGCGGGGCTGAGCGTGACCCTTGGGTGACCCCCCCCTGCCCCATAGATCCCCCCTAGCCCCATAATTCCGCCCCAGCCCCATAAGTGCCCCCCCAGCCCCATAGATCCCCCCAGCCCCATAAGTGCCCCCAGCCCCATAAGTGCCCCCCCAGCCCCATAGGTCCCCCCAGCCCCATAACTGCCCCCAGCCCCATAAGTGCCCCCAGCCCCATAGATTCCCCCTCAGCCCCATAAGTGCCCCCTCACCGTGGGGCCGGCGGCACCGGGCACAAATGGCCGCCAGCAGCAGCGTGGGGGGCAGCAGGATCAGGCCCCAGAGGCCGCTATGGGGCCACGGAGCCTCCATGGGGCCTGGGGGGGAGTTGGATGTGAGGCAGGCGTGGGGCCGGATGTGTGGGGCCCGCTTCACGCCCGTCCCACACATGACGCGCTGCGGTTGGGAACTGGCACTGCCCCATAAGTGCAGTGTCTGCCCCATAAGTAGGAGGGCCCCAGCATCCATGGGCCCCATAAGCACATCCCTGCCCCATAGATCAGCCCCATAGATCACCCCATAGAACAGCCCCATAGAACACCCCATTGATCACCCCATAGATCATCCCCATAGAGCCCCATAGATCAGCCCCATAGAACCCCATAGACCCCCATAGATCAGGCCATAGATCATCCCCATAGATCATTCCCATAGAACAGCCCCATAGATCAGCCCCACAGATCACCCCATAGATCATCCCCATAGAGCAGCCTCATAGAACCCCAAAGACCCCCATAGAACGCCCCATAGATCATCCCCATAGATCACCCCCACAGATCACCCCATAGATCATCCCCATAGAGCAGCCCCATAGAACCCTGAAGACCCCCATAGATCGCCCCATAGATCATCCCCATAGATCACCCCATAGATCATCCCCATAGATCACCCCATAGATCACCCCATAGATCATTCCCGTAGATCATCCCCATAGAGCCCTATAGATCAGCCCCATAGAGACCCATAGAACCCCATAGGCCCCCATAGATCACCCCATGATCATCCCCATAGAGCAGCCCCATAGCCCCCCCCAGCCCCATAGCCCCCATTGATCACCCCACAGCTCCTGCAGGCGCCTCCAGCCCCGAACCTTTCCCAGGGCCCCCCGGAAGCTGCGGCTGCCGCCGTGGGGCAGGAAACGAGGGGGGGTGAGGGAGGGGTGGGGGGCAGGATGTGGGGCAGGCTATGGGTCTATGGGGCAGGTATAGAGGCTATGGCACAGGTATAGGGGCTATGGGGCAGGCTATGGGGCAGGTTATGGGTCTATGGGGCAGGCTATGGGTCTATGGGGCAGGCTATAATCTATGGGGCAGGCTGTTGGTCTATGGGGCAAGCTATGGGGCAGGCAATGGGTCTATAGGGCAGGTTATGGGGCTGGTTATGGGTTTATGGGGCAGGTAGAGGGGCTATGGGGTAGGCTATGGGGAATTTTATGGGTCTATGGGGCAGGCTATGGATCTATGGGGCTGGATGTTGGTCTATGGAGCAAGCTATGGAGCATGCAACGGGTCTATAGGGCAGGTTATGGGGCTGGTTATGGGTTTATGGGGCAGGTAGAGGGGCTATGGGGCAGGCTATGGGGAAGGTTATGGGTCTATGGGGCAGGCTATGGATCTATGGGGCAGGCTATGGGTCTATAGGGAAGGTTATGGGGCAGGCAATGGGTCTATAGGGCAGGTTATGGGGCTGGTTATGGGTCTATGGGGCAGATTAAGGGTCTATAGGGCACACTATGGGTCTATGGGGCATGCTATGGGTCTGTGGGGCAGGTTAAGGGTCTATGGGGCACGCTATGGGTCTATGGTTCCCCATAGCCCCCCCAGACTCCCTTCCTGCCCCCCCCAACATGGCGCCGCCCTTCCCAACATGGCGGCCTCACCGCCACCAAGATGGCGGCGCCGTACGCGCAGCAGGGCGGAGCCATGACCCGCGCATGCGCACCTCCACCCCCCCGCCGCCGCCCCGCCCTGAGCCGCGGTGCACTCTGGGACCGTGGCGGACCCGGCGGCGCTGACGGCAGCAGCGGAGCCATGGTGGGAACCGGAGGGGGGAGGGGGGGGAAAACGGGGTGGGGGAGGGGTGCGGGGGGAGGGGGGGGACGGGAACGGAGCCGTCGGACCCCGTTGGAACGGCGGGAAACGGCGGGAAACGGCGGGAAACGGCGGGAAACGGCGGAAACGGCGGGAAACGGGAGGGAACGGGACAGGCCCGGCCTGAGGGGAGGCCACGCCCCCTTCGACGAGGCCACGCCCCCCCCTCCCCGGCCTCCCATTGATAACAATGGGCACACACGGACACCCCATAGAGCCCCATAGGGACCCATAGAGACCCATAGCCCCCCATAGACCCCCCATAGAACCCCATAGGGACCCATAGAGCCCCATAGGGACCCAGAGACCCATAGGGACCCATAGAGACCCATAGCCCCCCATAGACCCCCCATAGAACCCCATAGGGACCCATAGAGCCCCATAGGGACCCAGAGACCCATAGGGACCCATAGAGACCCATAGCCCCCCATAGACCCCCCATAAAACCCCATAGGGACCCATAGAGACCCATAGGGACCCATAGACCCCCCATAGAGACCCCATAGAACCCCATAGCCCTCCCATAGAGCCCCATAGAGACCCCCTAGAGCCCTATAGAGACCCCCGTAGTGCCCCATAGAGGCCCTATAGAGACCCCCGTAGTGCCCCATAGAGCCCTATAGAGACCCCCGTCGCGCCCCATAGAGCCCTATAGAGACCCCCGTCGCGCCCCATAGAGCCCTATAGAGACCCCCGTCGCGCCCCATAGAGCCCTATAGAGACCCCCGTCGCGCCCCATAGAGCCCTATAGAGACCCCCGTCGCGCCCCATAGAGCCCTATAGAGACCCCCGTAGCGCCCCATAGAGCCCTATAGAGACCCCCGTCGCGCCCCATAGAGCCCTATAGAGACCCCCGTAGCGCCCCATAGAGCCCTATAGAGACCCCCGTCGCGCCCCATAGAGCCCTATAGAGACCCCCGTCGCGCCCCATAGAGCCCTATAGAGACCCCCGTAGCGCCCCATAGAGCCCTATAGAGACCCCCGTAGCGCCCCATAGAGCCCTATAGAGACCCCCGTCGCGCCCCATAGAGCCCTATCGAGACCCCCGTCGCGCCCCATAGAGGCCCTATAGAGACCCCCATAGAGCCCTATCGAGACCCCCGTCGCGCCCCATAGAGCCCTATAGAGACCCCCGTCGTGCCCCATAGAGCCCTATAGAGACCCCCGTAGCGCCCCATAGAGCCCTATAGAGACCCCTGTCGCGCCCTATAGAGACCCCCGTAGTGCCCCATAGAGCCCTATAGAGACCCCCGTAGTGCCCCCTAGAGCCCTATAGAGACCCCCGTAGCGCCCCATAGAGCTCTATAGAGACCCCCGTCGCGCCCCATAGAGCCCTATAGAGACCCCCGTCGCGCCCCATAGAGCCCTATCGAGACCCCCGTCGCGCCCCATAGAGCCCTATCGAGACCCCCGTAGTGCCCCATAGAGCCCTATAGAGACCCCCGTAGCGCCCCATAGAGCCCTATCGAGACCCCCGTCGCGCCCCATAGAGGCCCTATAGAGACCCCTGTCGCGCCCCATAGAGGCCCTATAGAGACCCCCGTCGCGCCCCATAGAGCCCTATAGAGACCCCCGTCGCGCCCCATAGAGCCCTATAGAGACCCCCGTCGCGCCCCATAGAGCCCTATAGAGACCCCCGTCGTGCCCCATAGAGCCCTATAGAGACCCCCGTCGCGCCCCATAGAGCCCTATAGAGACCCCCGTCGCGCCCCATAGAGCCCTATAGAGACCCCCGTCGCGCCCCATAGAGCCCTATAGAGACCCCCGTCGCGCCCCATAGAGCCCTATCGAGACCCCCGTCGCGCCCCATAGTGCCCCATAGAGACCCCATACAGACCCTATAGACCCCCATAGTGCCCGATACAGACCCCATAGTGCCCCATAGAGCCCCATAGTGACCCCATGGAGCCACATAGACCCCCCTAGCGCCCCATAGAGACACCATAGAGCCCTATAGAGACCCCCATAGACCCCCCTAGTGCCCCATAGAGACCCCATAGAGCCCTATAGAGACCCCCCTAGCGCCCCATAGCGCCCCATACAGACCCCATAGAGCCACATAGACCCCCCTAGCACCCCATAGAGACCCCATAGAGCCCCATAGAGACCCCCATAGACCCCCATAGCACCCCATAGAGACCCCATAGAGCCCTATCGAGACCCCCGTCGCGCCGCGTCTCCCCAGGACGTGTTCCTCATGATCCGGCGGCACAAGACCACGATCTTCACGGAGGCCAAGGAGTCGAGCACGGTGCTGGAGCTCAAGCGCATCGTGCACGGCATCCTGAAGCGGCCCCCCGAGGAGCAGCGCCTCTACAAGGTGCCTGTGGGGCCGGGGGGGCCAGGGGGCAGCTATGGGGCGGCTATGGGGCACTATGGGGGGATATGGGGTGTCTATGGGGCAGCTATGGGGGGCAATGGGGTGTCTATGGGGCAGCTGTGGGGGTATATGGGGTGTCTATGGGGCAGCTGTGGGGGTATATGGGGTGTCTATGGGGCAGCTATGGGGGTCTGTGGGGGTATATGGGGTGTCTATGGGGCGGCTATGGGGCAGCTGTGGGGGGCAGTGGGGTGTCTATGGGGTGTCTATGGGGCAGCTGTGGGGGTATATGGGGTGTCTATGGGGCAGCTATGGGGCGGCTATGGGGCAGCTATGGGGGGCAGTGGGGTGTCTATGGGGTGTCTATGGGGCAGCTGTGGGGGTATATGGGGTGTCTATAGGGCGGCTATGGGGCAGCTATGGGGGTATATGGGGTGTCTATGGGGCAGCTATGGGGGGCAGTGGGGGTATATGGCGTGTCTATGGGGCAGCTATGGGGGGCAGTGGGGGTATATGGGGTGTCTATGGGGCAGCTATGGGGGGCAATGGGGTGTCTATGGGGCAGCTGTGGGGGTATATGGGGTGTCTATGGGGCAGCTATGGGGGGCAGTGGGGTGTCTATGGGGCAGCTGTGGGGGTATATGGGGTGTCTATGGGGCAGCTGTGGGGGTATATGGGGTGTCTATGGGGCAGCTATGGGGGTCTGTGGGGGTATATGGGGTGTCTATGGGGCGGCTATGGGGGGCAATGGGGGTATATGGGGGGTCTAAGGGGGTCTGTGAGGGCCTGTGGGGATCTGTGAGGGGCTGTGGGGGTCTATGGGGGGGCTATGGGGGTCTATGGGGTGGCTGTGGGGGTCTATGGGGTGTCTAAGGGGGTCTCTGGGGGTCTGTGGGGGGTCTTTGGAGCTCTATGGGGGTCTATAGGGGTCTGTGGGGGTTCTATGGGGGTCTGTGGGGGGGCTATGGGGGGTCTATGGGGCACTATGGGGGTCTATGGGGCGGCTATGGGGGGGTCTATGGGGCACTATGGGGGTCTATGGGGCACTATGGGGGGTCTATGGGGCTCTATGGGGGGGTCTATGGGGCACTATGGGGCTCTATGGGGGTCTGTGGGGCACTATGGGGCACTATGGGGCTCTATGGGGCACTATGGGGCTCTATGGGGGAGTCTATGGGGCACTATGGGGGGGTCTATGGGGCACTATGGGGGTCTATGGGGCACTATGGGGCTCTATGGGGCACTATGGGGGTCTATGGGGCACTATGGGGGTCTATGGGGCACTATGGGGCTCTATGGGGCACTATGGGGGTCTATGGGGCACTATGGGGCTCTATGGGGCACTTTGGGGGTCTATGGGGCACTATGGGGCTCTATGGGGCACTATGGGGGTCTATGGGGCACTATGGGGTTCTATGGGGCACTATGGGGGTCTATGGGGCACTATGGGGGTCTATGGGGCACTATGGGGCTCTATGGGGGGGTCTATGGGGCACTATGCGGGGTCAATGTGGATCCATCGCTGTCAATGGGAGCCGGGCGAGGGGGCGTGGCCTGGGAGGAGGAGGAGGAGGGGGGCGTGGCCAGCGGTGCCCCTCCACGTGACCGCGGAGGCCTGCGGCGCTCCCTGTCCATGGCGGCCGTGCCGGGCGCCCCCTGCAGGAGGACCAGGTCCTGGAGGACTCCCGCACGCTGGGGGACTGCGGCTTCACGAGCCAGACCGCGCGGCCACAGGCACCGGCAACTGTGGGGCTGGCGCTGAGGACGGCAGGTGGGACCCATAGAGACCCATAGGGACCCATAGAGACACATAGGGACCCATAGAGACCCATAGGGACACATAGAGACACATAGGGACCCATAGAGACCCATAGAGAACACATAGAGACCCATAGAGACACATAGGGACCCATAGAGACCCATAGGGACCCATAGAGACACATAGGGACACATAGAGACACATAGAGACACATAGGGACACATAGGGACCCATAGAGACACATAGAGACCCATAGAGACACATAGGGACCCATAGAGACCCATAGGGACCCATAGAGACACATAGGGACCCATAGAGACCCATAGAGAACACATAGAGACCCATAGAGAACACATAGAGACCCATAGGGACCCATAGAGACACATAGGGACACATAGAGACACATAGAGACACATGGGGAGACATGGGGACACATAGGGACACATAGGGACACATAGAGACCCATAGAGACCCATAGAGACACATAGGGACACATAGGGACACATAGGGACCCATAGAGACCCATAGAGACACATAGGGACACATAGGGACACATAGGGACCCATAGAGACACATAGGGACACATAGGGACACATAGGGACCCATAGAGACACATAGGGACCCATAGAGACCCATAGGGACCCATAGAGACCCATAGGGACCCATAGAGACCCATAGGGACCCATAGAGACACATAGGGACACATAGAGACCCATAGGGACCCATAGAGACACATAGAGACCCATAGAGACACATAGGGACCCATAGAGACACATAGGGACCCATAGAGACACATAGGGACCCATAGAGAGACATAGGGACACATAGAGACCCATAGGGACCCATAGAGACCCATAGGGACACATAGAGACACATAGGGACACATAGAGACACATAGGGACACATAGGGACACATAGAGACACATAGGGACCCATAGAGACCCATAGGGACACATAGAGACCCATAGGGACACATAGAGACACATAGGGACCCATAGAGACACATAGGGACACATAGGAACACATAGAGACACATAGGGACACATAGAGACCCATAGGGACACATAGAGACCCATAGGGACCCATGGGGACCCATAGGGACACATAGGTACCATAGGGACCATAGAGTACCCATAGAGACACATAGCGATCAATAGGGTGGTTTTGGGGTGGTTTTGGCTCATTTTGTGGTGTTTTGGGTGGTTTTGGGGTGTTTTTGGCTCATTTTGAGTGGTTTTGGGGGTGTTTTTGGCTCATTTTGGGTGGTTTTGGGGTGTTTTTGGCTCATTTTGAGTGGTTTTGGGGGTGTTTTTGGCTCATTTTGGGTGGTTTTGGGGTGTTTTTGGCTTGTTTTGGGGTGTTTTTGGCTTGTTTTGGGTGGTTTTGGCTCATTTTGTGGTGTTTTTGGGGTGTTTTTGGCTCATTTTGGGTGGTTTTGGGGTGTTTTTGGCTTGTTTTGGGGTGTTTTTGGCTTGTTTTGGGTGGTTTTGGCTCATTTTGGGTGGTTTTGGGGTGTTTTTGGCTCATTTTGGGTGGTTTTGGGGTGTTTTTGGCTCATTTTGGGTGGTTTTGGGGTGTTTTTGGCTTGTTTTGGGGTGTTTTTGGCTTGTTTTGGGTGGTTTTGGCTCATTTTGGGTGGTTTTGGGGTGTTTTTGGCTCATTTTGGGTGGTTTTGGGGTGTTTTTGGCTCATTTTGGGTGGTTTTGGGGTGTTTTTGGCTTGTTTTGGGGTGTTTTTGGCTTGTTTTGGGTGGTTTTGGCTCATTTTGTGGTGTTTTTGGGGTGTTTTTGGCTCATTTTGGGTGGTTTTGGGGTGTTTTTGGCTTGTTTTGGGGTGTTTTTGGCTTGTTTTGGGTGGTTTTGGCTCATTTTGGGTGGTTTTGGGGTGTTTTTGGCTCATTTTGGGTGGTTTTGGGGTGTTTTTGGCTCATTTTGGGTGGTTTTGGGGTGTTTTTGGCTTGTTTTGGGGTGTTTTTGGCTTGTTTTGGGTGGTTTTGGCTCATTTTGGGTGGTTTTGGGGTGTTTTTGGCTCATTTTGGGTGGTTTTGGGGTGTTTTGGGCTCATTTTGTGGTGTTTTTGGGGTGTTTTGGGCTCATTTGGGGCCGTTTGTGGGTGCAGAGGAGCCCTTTGAGCCGCTGCGCATCGACGCCTTCTCCAGCCCCCCCGAGCTCCCCGATGTGATGAAGCCCCAGGACGCCCCCGGCGCCGCCCCCGAGGCCCCCCTGCCCTGAGCGCGCCTCCACACGCGTGTTACATACATGTTACATGTGTGAACATGGGATGCAGGTGTGTTACAGGCGTGTTACATGTGTGAACATGGGATGCAGGGGTGTTACGTGTTACAGGCGTGTTACATGTGTGAACATGGGATGCAGGTGTGTTACAGGCGTGTTACATGTGTGAACATGGGATGCAGGGGTGTTACATACGTGTTACATGTGTGAACATGGGATGCAGGTGTGTTACATACATGTTACATGTGTGAACATGGGATGCAGGTGTGTTACATACATGTTACATGTGTGAACATGGGATGCAGGTGTGTTACATACGTGTTACATGTGTGAACATGGGATGCAGGGGTGTTACATACGTGTTACATGTGTGAACATGGGATGCAGGTGTGTTAGATGTGTGAACATGGGATGCAGGGGTGTTACATACGTGTTACATACGTGTTACATGTGTGAACATGGGATGCAGGCATGTTACGTACGTGTTACAGGCCTGAACATGGGATGCAGGTGTGTTACATACGTGTTACAGGCATGTTACAGGCCTGAACATGGGATACAGGTGTGTTACAGGCGTGAACATGCGTCTTACATACACCAGTATGGGATAAATACTTGAACACGCATGTTACAGATGTGTTACATGCATGTTACATGTGTGAACATGGGATACCGGCGTGTTACATACGTTAACACGTGTTACATGTGTGAGCATGGGACACGTACGTGAACACGTGTGTTACCTACCCATTGAACCCCATTGACTGCCCCAAACCCCATTGACCCCCATTGGGAACCCCCAAACCCCATTGACCCCCATTGGGACCCCCCCAAACCCCATTGACCTCCATTGGGACCCCACTGACCCCCATTGGGTTGCCATTGAGAACCCCCCCCCAGACCCCATTGAGACCCCATAGATCCCCATTAGACCCCTATTAGGAACCCCCAAACCCCATTGCCCCCCATTCATCACCACTCTCATAAAGGAGGGGGGGGGGTGTTTATTGGGGGACCCCAACAGCCCCCAATGGCCATGGGGGGGCTCCATTGACCCCCATTCATTACCTATGGGGGGGTTCCCATGGGGGGGGTTTCCATTGACCCCCATTCATTACCTATGGGGGGGTTCCCACGGGGAGGGGCTCCATTGACCCCCATTCATTACCTATGGGGGGGTTCCCACGGGGAGGGGCTCCATTGACCCCCATTCATTACCTATGGGGGGGTTCCCACGGGGAGGGGCTCCATTGACCCCCATTCATTACCTATGGGGGGGTTCCCATGGGGGGGGTTTCCATTGACCCCCATTCATTACCTATGGGGGGGTTCCCATGGGGGGGGTTTCCATTGACCCCCATTCATTACCTATGGGGGGGTTCCCACGGGGAGGGGGGGCTCCATTGACCCCCATTCATTACCTATGGGGGGGTTCCCACGGGGAGGGGCTCCATTGACCCCCATTCATTACCTATGGGGGGGTTCCCACGGGGAGGGGGGGCTCCATTGACCCCCATTTATTACCTATGGGGGGGTTCCCACGGGGAGGGGGGTCTCCATTGACCCCCATTCATTACCTATGGGGGGGTTCCCACGGGGAGGGGCTCCATTGACCCCCATTCATTACCTATGGGGAGGGTTCCCAAGGGGGGGGTTTCCATTGACCCCCATTCATTACCTATGGGGGGGGTTCCCACGGGGAGGGGCTCCATTGACCCCCATTCATTACCTATGGGGGGGTTCCCACGGGGAGGGGGGACTCCATTGACCCCCATTCATTACCTATGGGGGGTTCCCAAGGGGGGGGGGCTCCATTGACCCCCATTCATTACCTATGGGGGGGTTCCCACGGGGAGGGGGGGCTCCATTGACCCCCATTCATTACCTATGGGGGGGTTCCCATGGGGGGGGTTTCCATTGACCCCCATTCATTACCTATGGGGGGGTTCCCACGGGGAGGGGCTCCATTGACCCCCATTCATTACCTATGGGGGGGGTTCCCAAGGGGGGGGTTTCCATTGACCCCCATTCATTGCTTTGGGGGGGGGGGTGTGTTGTTCCCACGGCTGCTCCATTGCCCCCCATTCATTGCTCGCTATGGGGCAGGACCTTGAGGGCGAAGTCCAGGGCAGGGGCGCTGTGGGTCAGGCACCCCATGGAGACGACGTCGATGTGGGGCCCCAGGAAGTGGGGCAGGGAGTCCAGGGTGATGCCGCCGCTCGCCTCCACCACGACGTGGGGCCGGGAGGCCTTGACGGCCGCCGCCGCCTTGTGCAGGGCCTGCAAGGGGGACCTATAAGTGGTCAGTGGGGCACATAGGGGGTGATAGGACCCATAAGTGGGCAATGGGGGCCATAAGGACCTCGAGGACCCATAAGTGGTCAGTGGGGTCCATAGGGGGTGATGGGATCCGTAAGTGGGCAATGGGAGCCTATGGAGCTCAAGGACCCATAAGTGGGCATTGGGACCCATAAGTGGGCAATGGGGCCCATTAGGGGTCAAAGGGGCCCGTAAGTGCTCAATGGGCCCCATAGGCACTCAATGGGATGCTATGGATCTCAAGGACCCATAAGTGCTCAGTGGGACCCATAAGTGCTCAATGGGCCCCATAAGCGGTCAGGGGGCCCCAGAGGCACTCAATGACCCCAGAGGCCCTCACTGTGTCCCATTGCACTCAACGGCCCCATAGACCCCCCGTGGCCCCACAGGCCCGCGCGGTGCCCCCCAAGTGTGGGGCGGGGCGCACCTGGGGGCTGAAGTTGTCCATGAGGACGATGTCGGCCCCGGCAGCGGCGGCGGCCACGGCGGCGCCCTCGGAACCGACCTCGATGGAGACGCGGCGCCAGAACCCGGCGGCGGCGCGGGCAGCGCCCACGAGCTGCGACCCATAGAGACCCATAGAGACCCATAGAGACCCATAGGGACCCATAGAGACCCATAGAGACCCATAGAGACCCATAGAGACCCCATAGAGACCCATAGGGACCCATAGAGACCCCATAGAGACCCATAGGGACCCATAGAGACCCATAGGGACACATAGGGACCCATAGAGACCCCATAGAGACCCATAGGGACCCATAGAGACCCCATAGAGACCCATAGGGACCCCATAGGGACCCATAGAGACCCATAGAGACCCATAGGGACCCATAGGGACCCATAGAGACCCCATAGGAACACATCGAGACCCATAGAGACCCATAGAGACCCCATAGAGACCCATAGGGACCCATAGAGACCCCATAGAGACCCGTAGGGACCCATAGAGACCCCATAGAGACCCATAGAGACCCATAGAGACCCCATAGAGACCCATAGGGACCCCATAGGGACCCCATAGGGACCCATAGAGACCCATAGAGACCCATAGGGACCCATAGAGACCCCATAGGAACACATCGAGACCCATAGAGACCCATAGGGACCCATAGGGACCCCATAGAGACCCCATAGACACCCATAGGGACCCCATAGAGACCCCATAGGGACCCCATAGAGACCCATAGAGACCCATAGAGACCCCATAGAGACCCATAGAGAGCCCTATAGAGACCCCATAGAGACCCCATAGAGCCCCACAGAGACCCCATAGAGCCCCATAGAGACCCACAGAGACCCCATAGAGCCCCATAGGGACCCATAGACCCGCCCCCCCCTTACCTCCTCCATGGACCCCCCGTGCAGCGCCACGTGATTGTCCTTGACCAATAGGAGCCCGTCGAGCCCCCAGCGGTGCGCGTCGGCCCCGCCCACGGCCAGCGCGTACTTCTCCGCCAACCGGAAGCCGGGCGTGGTCTTCCGGGTGCCGGCGACCAATCCGTGCCAGCCTCGTGCGCGGGCCACGCCCCTCGCCGCCGTTGCCATGGTAGCGACGCCGCTGCAGCGGCCTAGGCAGTTGAGCGCCACCCGCTCGCCGTAGAGGAGCCCCCAGGCCGGGCCCCGCAGCTCCGCCACCGCCGTGCGGGCCCCGGGCAGGGCCGAGCCCTCCGGGAGCAGCGCCCGGAGCTCGCAACCGAGCTCCCGGAACACGGCCTCGGCGAACGGGAGCCCCGCCAGGACCCCGGCGGACTTGGAGACCAGCTGGGCCCGAGCCAGGCCGCGGCCGCCATCACCGGAAAGCGACGACGCGGGGTCAAAGGGCGACGTGTCCTCCTGCAGCCAATGGAGGGCCAGGACGCGGAGGGAGGGCGGGGGAAGCACCGGAAGTGGAGGGGGCTGCGGGGGAGAGGGGGGGAGAGAGAGAGAGAGGGGGCGCTCTGGGCGCGGCTCTATGGTGCTGGAGGACTGCGCGTCGAGATGGAGTCCTCCAGGGCCTCCACGTGCCCTTCTAGCCGCGCCTCTATGGTCCACAGTCCTCCAGGGCCCCTCTAGCCTCCTCTCTATGGTGTCATAGTCCTCCAGGGCTCCTCTAGACACAACTCTATGGTGCCAAAGTCCTCCATGGCTCCTCTAGCCTCCTCTCTATGGTACCACAGTCCTCCAGGGCCCCTCTAGTCACAGCTCTGTAGTACTTTAAGCCACTCTAGCCTCCTCTCTATGGTACCACAGTCCTCCAGGGCTCCTCTAGCCGCGGCTCTATGGTGCTGGAGGACTGCGCGTCGAGATAGAGTCCTCCAGGGCCTCCACGTGCCCTTCTATCTGCAACTCTATGGTGCCACAGTCCTCCAGGGCCCCTCTAGACTCAACTCTATGGTCCGTAGTCCTCCATGACCCCTCTAGCCTCCTCTCTATGGTGCCACAGTCCTCCAGGGCCCTTCTAGCCGCGGCTCTATGGTCCGTAGTCCTCCATGACCCCTCTAGCCTCCTCTCTATGGTGCCACAGTCCTCCAGGGCTCCTCTAGCCGCAGCTCTATGGTGCTGGAAGACTGCGCGTCGAGATGGAGTCCTCCAGGGCCTCCTCGTGCCCTTCTAGGCGCAACTCTATGGTGTCACAGTCCTCCAGAGCCCCTCTAGCTGCGGCTCTATGGTGCCACAGTCCTCCAGAGCCCCTCTAGCTGCGGCTCTATGGCTCCATAGTCCTCCAGGGCCCCTCTAGCCTCCTCTCTATGGTGCCACAGTCCTCCAGGGCCCCTCTAGTCACAGCTCTATGATCCATAGTCCTCCAGGGTCCCTATAGCTGTGGCTCTATGGCGCCACAGTCCTCCACAGCCCCTCTAGCCTCCTCTCTATGGTCCACAGTCCTCCAGGGCCCCTCTAGCCACAGCTTTATGGTGCCATAGTCCTCCAGGGCCTCTCTATCCACATCTCTATGGTGCCATAGTCCTCCAGGGCCTCTCTATCCACATCTCTATGGCGCCATGGTCCTCCAGGGCCTCTCTCTACCCCTCTAGCCACATCTCTGTGGTACTTCAGGCTGCTCTAGCCTTGTCTCTGTGGCAGTACAGACCTCCAGGACCTCTCTGTGACGCTCTAGCCTTGTCTTTATGGTGCCATAGTCCTCCAGGGCCTCTAGGCCTCGTCTCTGTAGTACTTTGGGCCGCTCTAACCCCATCTCTATGGTTCTACAGGGTTGGGGGCGCACTGGAGAGGCACCAAGCTATGGGTCCAGCCCCATAAACCCCTCTCCTGCCCCACACCCAGCCCCATAGATCCCCTCCCAGCCCCACATCCTGTCCCATAGCCCCCCCCCAACCTATGGGTCAAGCCCATAGACCCCCCCAGCCCCACACCCAGCCCCATAGACCCCTCCAGCACCACATCCAGCTCTATAGAGCCCCCTAATCTATAGGTCCAGCCCCATATATTCCCCCCTAGCCCCACATCTAGACCCACAGATCCCCCCCATCCAGCCCCATAGACCCCCGTAATCTATGGGTCCAGCCCCATAGAACCCTCCCCAGACCCCCATCCAGCCCCCTAAACCCCTCCCATCCCCCCAACCAGCCCCATAGATCCCCTCCAGCCCCACATCCTGCCCCATGGACCCCCCTAATCTATGGGTCCAGCCTCATAGACCTCCCCCAGCCCCATAGACACCCCCAACCTATGGGTCCAGCCCCATAGATCCCCCCCACCCCCCCATCCAGCGCCATAGCACTCCCCATCCCCTCCCCCCCGCCATGTCCATGGGGGTCCAAAGTCCGCCCGCCATTGGCCACGTCTCCCATTGCCCCTCCCCCACCCCCCCATCCCCCCCCGACCCCCAAGTGGGGCCGGACCCACATCTATGGGGCAGGAGGCTCCCACTCACCTCCATGGCTGCCACTTAGGGGGCAAATGAGCCCCTATGGGGGGGTGGGGAGGGGGGTAGTGGGCTTGGGGGAGGGGGCGTGGTCATCCCGCCCCTAGCTCCGTTCCCCTCGCTCTGATTGGTTGTCCCACAAGTGGCTCCGCCCCCCATTAAAGACACGGGAGGCCGGGGGGAAGGGGGGGGATTCCCTTTAATGGCAATAAATAAGCGACGCTGTGGGGTGCCCCATAGCGCTATGGGGCTGCCCCATAGCAAGAGGTTGCCCCATAGCATTAGGGTGCCCCATTGAGCTTAGGGGGTGCCCCATAGCAATAGGGTGCCCCACAGAGCTTGGGGGGTGCCCCATAGCATTAGGGTGACCCATAGAGTTTGGGGGATCCCCATAGCAAAGGGCTGCCCCATAGCATTAGGGTGCCCCATAGTGTTTAGGGGGTGCCCCATAGCAACAGGGTGCCCCATGGCACTAGGGTGTCCCATAGCAATGGGGGGGCCCCATAGAGCTTGGAGGGTGCCCCATAGCATTGGGGTGCCCCATAGAGCTTAGGGGGTGCCCCATAGCAATAGGGTGCCCCATAGCGCTATGGGGCTGCCCCATAGCAAAGGGGGAGGGGGGGGGGCTTGGAGCAGCTTTGGGGTCACTTCTTCTTCTTGTGGGTGTCCAGGGCTTCAGGTGCTGATTGGAGGAGACGTGGTGATGTCATCACGTGACGTCATAGGTCATGGCCCGCCCCGCAAGTGCCCCCCCACCTTGAACCCATGGGGGGTCTATGGAGGTCTATGGGGGGGTCTATGGGGGGCTATGGGGTCTATGGGGGTCTATGGGGTCTATGGGGGGTCTATGGGGCTCTATGGGGGTCTATGGGTTCTATGAGGGTCCATGGGGGGCTATGGGGGTCTACAGGGGTCTGTAGGGGCTATGGGGAGCTATGGGGTGTCTATGTGGGTCTACGGCAGTCTATGGGTGTCTGTGGGGTCTATGGGGGTCTATGGATGTCTATGGGGGGTCTATGGGGGTCTATGGGTCCCTATGAGTCTCTGTGGGTCCCTATGGGTCTCTATGGGTCCCTGTGGGGTCTCTACAGGTCCCTATGGGTCCCTCACCCTCCAGGTAGTTCCTGGCGACGAACTTGAGGGCCTCGTCCAATAGGATGACGGGCAGGGAGATCTTGAGCACCATCAGCCAATGGGTGAGGGTCAGCGGGGTCAGCTTGAAGATCATCTATGGGGCAGAGAGCTGGGCCTGAGCCCCACGGCTGCCCCATGGCCCCCATGGGCACCCCATGGCGGATAAAGGCCATGGGGAGCCAGCCGATAGGGATCGACCCAATGAGGATCGACCAATGGGCATCACGCAATTGAGGGCAACCCAATGGGCATTGACCCAATGGGCATCACCCAATGAGCATCACCCAATGGGCATCAACCAATGGGCATCAACCAATGGGCATCAACCAATGGGGATCGACCAATGGGGATCGACCAATGGGCATTGACCCAATGGGCATCACCCAATGGCCATCATCCAATGGACATCGACCCAATGGGCATCGACCCAATAGACATTGACCCAATGAGCATCACCCAATGGGCATCAACCAATAGGCATTGACCAAATGGCCATCACCCAATGGGCATCAACCCAACGGGCGCTACCCAATGGCCGTCATCCAATGGACATCGACCCAATGGACATTGACCTAATGGTCATTGACCCAATGAGCATCACCCAATGGCCATCACCCAACAGACATCACCCAACCACCATTGACCCAATGGGGATCATCCCAATGGGCATCACCCAATGGGCATCGACCCAATGGCCATTGACCAATGGGCCCCCCCCCCCAGCCCCACACATCCCCTTACGGGCAGTGGGTCGACGTAGAGGATGACGAAGTGCAGGGACATGGACAGGCAGATGGAGCCCAGCAGCCAGATGTTGACCCACGGCGGCATCCGGGCCAGCGATTGGTTCTCGGAGAGGCTGCAGTGGGGCGGGAGGTGGGGATGTGGGGCGGGAGGTGGGGACGGACCCATGGACCCATTGATGGACCCCATGGACCCATTGGAGGTCCCCAGGGACCCATTTATGGACCCCATTGCCCCATTTAAGGTCCCCATTGACCCATTTAAAGACCCCATTGCCCCATTTAAGGTCCCCATGGCCCCATTTAAAGACCCCATTGCCCCATTTAAGGACCCCATTTAAGGACCCATTGCCCAATTTAAGGACCCCATAACCCCATTTAAGGACCCCATTGCCCCATTTAAAGACCCCATTGCCCCATTTAAGGTCCCCATGGCCCCATTTAAAGACCCTATTGCCCCATTTAAGGACCCCATTGCCCCATTTAAGGACCCAATCGACCCATTTAAAGACCCCATTGGAGGTCCCCATGGGGCTGCAGGTACCTGTTGAGGGCGTTGCACATCTCAATGGTGACCAGCACGGACAAGGCCATGGTCATGGGCACCGGCGACTCGAAGATCTCGCAGTCCAAGCCCTCGAATTCCACGTTGTGCTCCCCACATTGCATGAAGTGGGTCTGGGGTAGGGGGGGACAGCAATGGGGTCACCATAGGGTGGCCAACCCGTGGTCAATGGGGCCCCATCGGTCAAGCCATGGTCAACGGGGCCCCATCGGTCAACCCATGGTCAATGGGGCCCCATCGGTCAACCCATGGTCAATGGGGTCCCATGGGGCTCCGGCACTCACCAGTTGGTGGTAGCTGACGTTGGGGCCATCTTCAGCGAAGAGGAACCACCACGCGGCCGCGCCGACAGTGGCGGCACCGACGTAGCCTATGGGGAGAGGAAGCACCATGGGGGTCAGTGGAGGAGGCACCATGGGGGTCTACAAGGGATCATGATGGGCATCTCCAATGCTCTACAATGGGCATCTCCAATGGACATCTATGATGGTCTACAATGGGCATCTCCAATGGGCATCTACGATGGTCTACAATGGGCACCTCCAATGGGCATCTACAATGGGCACCTCCAATGGACATCTATGATGGTCTACAATGGGCATCTCCAATGGACATCTATGATGGTCTACAATGGACATCTCCAATGGGCATCTACAATGGTCTACAATGGGCACCTCCAATGGCCATCTACGATGGTCTACAATGGGCAACTCCAATGGACATCTATGATGGTCTACAATGGGCACCTCCAATGGACATCTATGATGGTCTACAAGGGGCACCTCCAATAGACATCTATGATGGTCTACAATGGGCACCTCCAATGGACATCTATGATGGTCTACAATGGGCACCTCCAATGGACATCTATGATGGTCTACAATGGACATCTCCAATAGACATCTATGATAGTCTACAATGGGCACCTCCAATGGACATCTATGATGCTCTACAATGGGCACCTCCAATGGACATCTACGATGGTCTACAATGGACATCTCCAATGGGCATCTACGATGGTCTACAATGGGCACCTCCAATGGACATCTATGATGGTCTACAATGGACATCTCCAATGGACATCTATGATGGTCTACAATGGGCACCTCCAATGGACATCTATGATGGTCTACAATGGGCACCTCCAATGGGCATCTACGATGGTCTACAATGGACATCTCCAATGGGCATCTACGATGGTCTACAATGGGCATCTCCAATGGACATCTATGATGGTCTACAATGGACATCTCCAATGGACATCTATGATGGTCTACAATGGGCACCTCCAATGGACATCTATGATGGTCTACAATGGGCACCTCCAATGGACATCTACGATGGTCTACAATGGGCACCTCCAATGGACATCTACGATGGTCTACAATGAGCATCTCCAATGGACATCTACGATGGTCTACAATGGGCACCTCCAATGGACATCTACGATGGTCTACAATGAGCACCTCCAATGGACATCTATGATGGTCTACAATGGGCACCTCCAATGGACATCTATGATGGTCTACAATGGCCATCTCCAATGGGCATCTACGATGGTCTACAATGGGCACCTCCAATGGACATCTATGATGGTCTACAATGGGCACCTCCAATGGGCATCTACAATGGGCACCTCCAATGGACATCTATGATGGTCTACAATGGGCACCTCCAATGGACATCTATGATGGTCTACAATGGGCACCTCCAATGGACATCTACGATGGTCTACAATGAGCATCTCCAATGGACATCTATGATGCTCTACAATGGGCACCTCCAATGGACATCTATGATGGTCTACAATGGGCACCTCCAATGGACATCTACGATGGTCTACAATGGGCACCTCCAATGGACATCTATGATGATCTCCAATGGACATCTCCAATGGACATCTATGATGGTCTACAATGGGCACCTCCAATAGACATCCACGACGGTCTATGATGAGCACCTCCAACGCTCTCCAATGGCCACCTCCACCGCTCTACCACCACCTCGACCTCCAAGTCCCCATGACTTCCTCCTTCCCCCACCGACCCCAGCCCCGGCGCCGTCGCTCACCGCCGATGGCGAGGTAGCGGAAGAAGAGCCAGCCGCTGATGAGCGGCTCCTTGGGGCTGCGGGGGGGCTTGTCCATGATGTCCAGGTCCGGGGGGTTGAAGCCCAGCGCCGTGGCCGGCAGCCCGTCCGTCACCAGGTTCACCCAGAGCAGCTGCACCGGGATCAGCGCCTCCGGCAGCCCCAGCGCCGCCGTCAGGAAGATGCTGGGGGGACACGGGGAGGGGAGGAGATGGGGTACGATGGGATAGAGTGGGATTCAATGGGGTAGAGTGGGGTATAAGTGGGTTAGAGTGGGGTACAATGGGATAGAGTGGGATGCAATGGGGCAGAGTGGGGTATAAGTGGGTTAGAGTGGGGTACAATGGGATTCAATGGGGTAGAGTGGGGTATAAGTGGGTTAGAGTGGGGAACAATGGGATTCAATGGGGTAGAGTGGGGTATAAGTGGGTTAGAGTGGGGTACAATGGGATAGAGTGGGATGCAATGGGATACAATGGGATTCA